TTGTCTTTTTCTCTCGTTTTTGTTCTCGCTCGTCTGCTCTGTTTCTTTCTTGCTCCCAGCGAGCGACGCAATGACGTCAATGGAAACAGACCTTTCCGGGTATATTATTACTCACTGACAGGCCGCGGATGCTCAGTCTACCAGTGAGGCTTGGGAGGTAGGGTGTTACGCGCCAGAAAGAATTATATATTTTGTAGTAGTAGATTTTCAGTAGGTTTTAGAAAATTAATATTGTGCTATTTGCACTTGAATTATGTTAAGCTAGTATAGTGTGAATGGGTTTGTTCAAACGATAAATGTCTTTATTTTGTTCCATAGAATAGACCCTTTAAAATTAGTTATTACGAACCACGTCATGCAATTTTGCGACATGGTTATCAAATATTTCGCAAATCTTAAGCGCCCGGATTCCGACGATCGTTATCTTACTACCGAGGAGTGGAATTTAATATCAAGGGCGAGATCCCAGAAGGAGGCCCAGGCCGCCGTGGCGGTACTGAAACCGAAACGGTTCAAATCGTCTCATTCAAAGTCTTCTAAAAAGGCAAAAGTTGCCATGTCTGTTTGTACGGCAAACCGAAGATATAGCGAACAATTTATGCTACCGAATAATATGAAAAGGAGAGTGTCACAGGCTAGATCTATTAACAAGCCACCGTCGACCAGGAGGTCTTCTTTGCCGGTGGCTGCTACTGACGACGTCAACAATAACAACTATGCTGCTGTTATCCGCCCCCATTCCCACCCGGACATAAATCAAACGGCAGAGTATCATGCTCATAGGATATGTTCCCATGTTGCCAGCCTGGCTTCATCCCTCGAGAAAGATACATATTTTGCCGCAGAAGGTGTGTCGGCGTCATGGAACGCCGCCACCCGGTCGTTCACCGTGCAACTTCATAAAGATTTCCCTGCGGACGGCAGGACTACAAACGGTGACTTGTTTCAAGGCGACAGGCCCTGCTTAAACGGATGTATAAAGCACTGTTACTGTTATGAGCCAGCTTGTGCTCGGTCGATCACCAGTACGTATTTTGCATATTTGTCAATTGTTATGTACAAATTGGATTCTGAATGTGTGCAATTTGCCTCCGAATCGATATTTTGATTGTTAACCTCTCATAGGGGGGATTATTTCAGTGAAATTAATGACCAGACGCATCTGTTCCTTCGTTGACTTGTCGATTTTTGCCAACGCATTTGCGTCTGGCGGCTCCCATATCTTAATATCAGCATCACTAAATCTGACATTAGGATTTATAAAAAAAAAAAATTATGTGGTGTTTATTACTGTACCTTACTTGATCAGTATAATCATCATTTTTTTAGATAATTTATCACACGGATAGACATGAATAAATAAATAAACACATGCACACACACTAAGCGCGCGGCGTGACGAAATATCAGTATATCTCATTATATTATTCCCTCTTCATATTGAAGAATAAATTCGCCCCGGGGGTTCCAGAGGACGACAAAAAAATCAGGCCGTCACGTTTAGGCCGTAACGCGTAATATTCTTCGGATGAATTTTATCTTATAATACTAGAAATAGGAAAATGCCAATTTTCGTGTCTTCACGCATGTACTTGGTTGACTTAGAAACAACCGGTTTATTTAGCACATTTCAATTTATTTTATAATTTCCAATTGATTTTGCATTAAAGTAGAATATTTGAATATGTATCGACCTGGAAATGAAGCGTGTATATCCGGTACTTTCCGGTTGATATCATATATTTAAAAAAAAAATTCTGACCTGTAAAAATTTTTCTTCTGTAGATCACCAAGATGACATGATGACAACTGACCCAGAAGAGGAACCAAGACCAGCGTCTCCGAATTACGCAGCAATTAAGCAAAATCACAAACCCAGCACAAAATATCAACTCAACCCCAATTGCAAAGTTATGGGAATGGTCTCAGGTACATTACAGCATTTATTATTGTGTTTTGTTACAACTGGATTCAAAACTGTCGTAATATGCCGATTTCGTGCGTTCGAAAAATTCAACTTTTTAAATTTTTGACTTTTTGATTTTGAATTTTTGTAGCACTCTTATATGTTGACTTGTTTTGGTCTGACGATATAAATTTCAGGAATTCTTTTGAAAAGATTGTATAAAAAATAATAAAATATTCTTAAAGAACTACGGTTACTTGTAGATGGCAATTAAAATGAATTAAATAAAAAGGAGAAAATGATTTTTCTTTGTTCAAATGAAGAATTTTGACCTAACTGAGATAAACAATCTTATTTTTTATTGTTCTGCTATAAAACTTGCGTTTATTACTTAGAAAGATCATTTAGTTTTCCTAGTGCAAAACAGTATCAAAATATTTTCCCGAATTTGTATTAACTTATTATAAATGTGGCCGTCAAACGTATTATTTGCCTTATAGTACCAGATGTGTCTCTACAGGATGCTAATGCTTGTAATACTATTAGTTGACTCAAATCCAGACACCTTACTTTACAAATAAATTTTTCATATTATCCAACAAACATCTGTCACTTCCAGTAGTTCTATTCATATGTATGTGCTGTGTATGTACCTTGATAATATTTCTTTACGTGGGTAACTTTTGCATCTCTGTCCGTAATTTACGAATTCTCACCTCGTTGGCCAACCTAGATTTTTAATCTATTTATTTATTATTTTTATTTGACAGGTATAAACAAAAAAGCAAACAAACATCGTGAAAATATTCTCAAGTTCAAAACAATACCGACATTTGGTGTTGTCGTCAACAACGAAAGCGCGCTCGCAAAGGTATGCATGTTTTGTGACAGTCATAAAACCTCTTTATAGACTTTGCGGCTCTATTGCGACCTTAGTGGTCGGGTTTAATATCTCATTTTTGTTTGACGTCATAAGTTAGATTTCATTTCGTCCCAAGGTCGTTGGATGAAAGCTGACTTCTTAATCATATTGTATTAGACATTCTTACCAGTTGAATCAATTCTGCGAAAGATCGATCCACAACAACTTCTCGCTGAGTGCAACTTTTAATACTCGCCATTGGTCGGTGACGCCTTATTCGGTTATGCGTTGTCTAACGTTATTTTGTTTTTGCTGTTTTATTCAATCTCAAAAATGTGAAATAATAACTTTATTTGCTTTTTTTATTGCTGTGCGGTCAATCGGACTCCGACGCCCTTTTATTATCGCATTATCGGCTGTGTTTATTTGAATTAGACGAAACGTGTTCTAGTTATCGTATATCAACGAAATCCGTGTCATCGCTGCAGAAATTTCTTTTTAAGAGTCATAGAATTTTTCTCCGTGAAAAACATATATCTTGTACATATTTGCCAGTAATAATTTTTGTAAATTTATTAAACTATTCGAATTGGTCTAAATCTAAACCCTGTATATACCTCCACCTATTACGTGATTATTTATTAATTAGAGTATTGCTCGTCTAACACGACTTTAAAATGGTATGTTGCTCATATGATTATGTGTATGAGTAAAATAAAAATAAAACTGTTAATTTGAATATAAAAATAATAGATTTTATATTACCCCTAAACGATTTATCGATTTTTATGACGACGATAAAAATATTTCGTATCAATGAACGCAAAACATGTTTTCCTATTGGTCTCGTCGCCGTCGACGTAAGCCACTCATGTATTGGTTATTAACAATTGCTTATGATTTAGTTGAGCGGAAAGCCTTACGTGACCTATACATATGAGATATCATCTACAAGTCAACTCATTACCGAGCATTTTCAGAGTATCGCTCACAACCCATCATAGAAAATAAATCACAAAACAACTGGTATTTTCATATAATCACGATTATGTGGATGATTAGAATTTGCAGTAACTGCGTTTTTTGATACATAAACCACACATTGTAAATTTAAAATGCTCCTAAAAAGTGTTTATTTATCAAATTACCGGTAAAACGGATTTCAAAGAACAAGTATTGAGTATAGCTTCGTGTTTGTGCGTGTCGGAAGAATTAACCAGATAAATTAGCAAAAAACGCGCTAATGACAATTTTTCGTGAGGCATCGAAACCGCGCCCGCGCTTTCTTTTTCGCCTTTTTGTTTTTTCGTTGTTGTGAATTTTACGGTAACGGCATGTTTCCCGATTTTCTTAGAATGCTCGATCGAATTGATAACCAAATTTACTCAATTTCTCATATTTTTAGGAACTCGATGGTGTGGACGTTTGGGGTGGCATCAACCTTTTCAAAGTTTCTGAAATGACAAACGGACGACCTCTATCTGCTACTTTATACAATATTTTGCAGGTAATGTCCAGAATTACGTTTTTTTTTAAATATTATTGCTTAACGGAGTTACATAGCTTATGTGCTTTGAAATACATGTTATTAATTTATGTTTATTTTGTTTTTTTGTATTCTAAAAATTTTATTTTTTTTAACAGAAACGCGACATGTTGAACAAATATAAAATTTCTCCGCAAAAATGTTTAGCATACGTAATGACACTCGAAGACCATTATCGTAAAGTTCCATTCCACAACAATATTCACGCTGCCGACGTTTTGCAGTCTGTGCACGTTCTATTGTCGTCTGCTGCCCTCGACGTGAGTTTGATTTAATTTTTGATCATTTTTTTTTTCTGATTAAATTTCGTTATGATTCATTGTTATGCGGTTAACGTACAAATATTATCGGCGTCCACCATTATCAGTATTACTTTATGACATCACAATTGATTATAATAGTATAGCATCGTCTGACAGAACTCTTTTGATAACGATGTTTTTATTTTTCGCCATTTTAGAGCGTCTTTACTGAAATCGAAATCCTGGCGGCACTGTTTGCAGGCGCTATGCATGACGTTGACCATCCCGGTCTCAATAATCAATTTCATTGTGCTACAAGTAAGTTATGCTTCTAATTTTTTTTATATACAATAGGTGAAATTTCCAGTTCCATCTTCTAAACTATGACCTTTTTTTCACCAGGAAGCGAACTGGCAATCATGTATAACGACGAATCGGTTTTGGAAAATCATCATTTGGCTGTTGGTTTCAAACTCATGCAGCAAAAAGATTGCGACTTATTCGAAAACTTGACTAGAAAACAATGGCAGAGTTTTAGAAAGACTGTTATTGACATGGTAAGTTTAACCGTAGCCTCGTTTAAGACTAATTTCACCATCAGATTCGATGGTACCTCAACATTAGTTTCGTATTAAAATTGAAACTAGTATAAGTTCACCGTTCAGACAAACGTAACCTCAAATTTTGAAAATTATTGAAATTGCCCCTACTTGAAGATTCGAATAGTTACCGGAGATCAATAGCGTCGACAAAAAAACAAAATTGTTTATGGAGACTGTATTCGATTAAGTTACCACAAGAACTCGTCACTCACTATCATTTGTTCTGACTAAGCGAACTCTAACTGAAAAATAAATTATAAAATAAAAATAAGTCCTAATTATGCACATCCCATGTATGGCGTATGATTTATGAGGTAGTTAGCCAAGTCCTCGCGGTACCAAGCAACGACGGAACTCTGCTCCAACCCCCGGTATGCAATTACGTCGTCTTGTGTATTGTGACGTAATATAATAGTTTCGATGTCTTCCAATAAATATGACGTCATTATCATTTTAAGTGATGAGGAAGACGATCCTTGTAAACAAATTCTGATAACTTGCTATGAGTATAATTCAATAACACCATTATCGTTGGCGTGATTTAGCTGTTTACTACTCACTATATTACGTCTTTTCTACGTAATACCTTTATGCTAATCTGTTTATTATCATTTGTTATCCAGGTACTCGCAACCGACATGTCAAAACACATGCAACTATTGGCTAATTTGAAGACAATGGTGGAAACGAAGAAAGTAGCTACATCCGGTGTACTCATGCTTGATAACTACACCGACCGAATCCAAGTATTGCAAAATATGATTCATTGCGCCGATTTGAGCAATCCTACCAAACCACTAGAACTATACAGAGGATGGACAGACCGAGTTATGAACGAATATTGGCTTCAAGGAGACGTGGAAAGAGATCGTGGACTCGAAATCAGTCCCATGTGTGACAGACACACTGCTTCCGTGGAGCGCTCTCAGGTAAATATAAAAGATTCAAATACATATTACTTTGGCACCGACTTGGCCGGGATTGATTAATATTTTTTCTTTTCAATTGAATGGAATAAACAATTATCCTTTTTCTTCTTTAGGTCATTTTCATCGACTACATTGCTTACCCACTTTGGGAAACGTGGGCGGATTTGGTTAATCCAAATGCTCAGGAAATTGTCGATCAATTGGTTTCGAACAGAGAATGGTATAGCCAGCAAATGCCTGGAAGGTAAGCTTTTTTAATTTTATTAGAATAAGAATTTTTTTGCTATAGTCCAACTCGTTGATGAAATATTATGTAAGCGTTCAGATTTCACAGCCTGTAGTGAATGTAATTAAATGGCAATTTTCCTCTTTAGTCCCTCTCCAGTTCCCGAAGACGGCGCTGAAAGTGCGGACATATCTGACGACAGTCACACCGCTGAAGCAAGTCAAGATGAAAGTTCTTGCTGCGATTCTGGGACAACTCAACCTCAGTCCAATAATTCTCCGGCTGCAAAGTTTCAATTTCAACTTTCAATGGACGACGACAAGTCTTCGACAAAATCTGACCAATCACAAAGCAGTGGCAGGATACCTTGTATAACTACAGAAGATGCTGATGGGGACAAATCTGCTGTAAAACGAGAGAGCTCTCCGTGATGAGGCTGCTCTCTTCAAAATGGACGACATTATCTGTCACCTAAATGATCTAAAACAGGCTCTGTTGGAGTCAATGGGTGCCTTGCGAGCTAGGTGCTCAATGCGGAGGCCAGTAGACTCTGAAGTATGAAGGAGCCGAAAGGCAAGTGGATTGTAAACGGTACCATGAAAACTTAGTACTGCGCTCTCCGCATTACGCAAAAACGGAGTGCTTTACAGCACGGTTGCCTTTGAGACGATACAAATTTAAAACATTACCGCAAGACTTCAAGACCGTTTGTCAACTGACATTATTGTTATTAATATTATCATCATTATTTTTACCATCGCAATAGCCTTGACAGAATTTTGTCATCGAATCATGATTGGCCGTGTGTTGATCTAATGTACCACCTAATGTGGTCCGATGATAGACATCCTTCTGGCCATTGAGACAAGTTACTGCTGTCGCACTGTATACTATTATATTATTATACTATACGATTTACTATTATTAGACTAGATAAAATGAGTGAGACTATTTCGCAATATTCGGCGCCTATTGCGCAACATTTAGCTCCTATTGCGCGTCGCTCTATTTTACTATTTATTGCTTTCTATAATATTGTAATATATTGAAGATTCAGTTATTTTTGTTTTTATTTTTTGATTACAAAAGTAATATTCGATTTGCACGTCATTGCTTTCGATATTTTACAAATCGTGTATCGATTCCCCTACCTGATTTTAGAACGATTAAACAATGGAAATATTTGGGGCCAATAATTGCCGTTTGCAAAACATGGAATCGTGTTATTGTGTTGGGCCGTATGAATGAATGCTACTACTATTTTGAATGTAATATTGCCTGTAATAAACTACGAAATTTTCTTATTGACGATACTGCGAATTTCATTGCCCACTCATTCACGGATAGTGAACAAAATTAGTTTAGCATTACTGTATCACATCATTTGTTTATGATAACACTGTTTTTCTGCTGCTCATTATTGCCGAGTATAACATTAACTTCAATAATTATACGACGAGTAGGGTACGTGCATGTAGTACTTTTTTGCTATATGTATGTCGATAAATATCCGACTACCTAGGTAATGTTAAATAGGATTTCCACGGTGGTATCCGAAAAATTAAGGATGTGTATTACATTTATCTTAAGATTGGTAAAATGTTAATCAATAGCTCATTTACATTTTGTTTTTTTGTTGTTTTTGAGGACGTGATATTCCTTTTTTATCTTGCGAACCCCACTGTTTAATGATATAGATGACATATCATTATTGGCCTGTTATTTATTTATAAGCTGTTGCTAATGCTATAAGGTTACGAATTGTATGATAACTATAGAACAAGTAATTCCATTTCAGGATAACGTCAAATATTGGTTAGCAAAATTGTTTTTTATTAGGTTCCTCCAGTCCCTCTATTAAGATCTTTTTCTGAAAAAGCAGAGAGGTCTTATGGTTCTATTTCGTTACTATTTGTTCGATCTTTTCTCGTTTTCCCTTTATCGTTCGTTCTTTTATTTTATTCGTTTGATTTCTTTTATTTTTTGTTATGCAGTTGTTAACATGATCTTCATGGAAGTTGCCTAGTCGAATAGGGAGGTACCTTGTCATTGTGAGCTGATGAACGCATGCAAGAATATATTATACTTGCTTATATTTGATAGCCACAATGACAAATTGTTGTTATTCGACTGGGCATATATTTCAGCATTGGAACTGAATTATAAATTGTGATATACAATGAAATATTTCTGGTGTTTGAAGATTGATTTGGGGGCTATTGAGGTATCAAGATAAGGCAACTTTTCGCTTCGGGACTTGCACAAAGCATTTTGGTAGAGTTGTGCCAGACTAGGAATCACTAAATGTAGTTTCACCCGGTGGTGGGATTCAGCCGGTTCGCACCGGTTCTATAGAACCATCTCGTGGAATTTTATGAGATCAGCAAACCGGTTAGAAGTACTGGTTACTGTCAATGTTTTGTTTGTAACAGAACCGGCTGACAGAAAATGCTGGCTGACTTAAAAACCCAAATCTGATCTGCGCGGGCTAGAATCAGATAGGCTTACTTTCATGACCGTAGTTTAAATAACTAAAGTATATCGCCAGAGAATTTATTTACTCCGTAATCAGTATTCCGGGTGATAAAATGTGATGTAAAAGATAAAAATTACACTTTGAATTCCTATGATTCCGACATAATAATCCTGATATTAAGATGAATGAATAAGTCGAAATCGCCGAGATTTCGAATCGGGATCCCAACCACAGCGACATGGATGGGTGTTTGGTGTCTTTTGCGAGAAGACATATCGTGCGATTGGTGTGAACCACCAATTCTGCTTCGAATGAAACTTTTAAAACCTGTTACAAGTATTTTCTTGTAGTCTTAACTTAAAATTGACATTAAATTTGAATTATATCTTACCTCCAATTCAATTTACCAAATGAACCTTTTCCCGACCATCAACTTTCTTATTTATTTCGTGACATTGGACAATCAGCACGATGCGAAAAGTGACGTAACAAGACTCCCTTTTCGCATCCGCTCAGACACTCTTCTCACTCAGACAGATTTTCAAGCGTGGCCGTAAACATTACTTCGTTTTCGCGTTTTTGAACTCTATTCGTTAGTTTTCTGTTGTGTTTCGGAAACTTAAATATAAATCAGATAATTCAATCAGCACCATGTCTTCCTAGAAGTTTTAATTTATAGTGGGTATACGAGTGTCCATCAAAAATAAAATGCGCAATAAGTACTATTTGAAAGGTAACATGTCACAGCAGCATTTATACAAGAGGTATTGCAACAAACTGAAAGGAAAAATAAAGAAAGCTAAACAACTTCATTATCATAATACGCTTAAGCAAAACCGAAACAATATAAAGCAAACATGAAGAACAATCAAAGAAATAGTAAATGTTAAAAATGACAAACAGAATACTATTACAGAAATTATGTTACAAAATAAAACTATAAAGTAATAAACTAATAAAGTTGCTGATAGCAAATGAGTTCAACACCTATTTCACTAACATCGGTCCAAAATTAGCCAGTCAATTTAATGATATTTCGGATTACAAAAAATATTTCCTTTTGAAGATTTCGCAAACCATATTTCTTCAGCCTGTTTTACTCTCAGAAATAATAGGTGGTATTTCAAGCCTAAAAAAGGGAAAAGCTATTGGTCCTCATAACATTCCATCATGTTTCCTTCAGCATATTGTAGACATAATATCGCCAGTCCTTATGATTCTGTTCAATGAATCAATACAGCTGGGTATGTACCCTTCAGTATTCAAAATTGCTCGAGTAACACCAATTTTAAAATCTAGTGATAATGAAATAATATCTAACTACAGACCTATTTATATTCTTTCTTGTTTAAACATACTTTTTGAAAAACTTATATATGAAAGAATGGTAAAATTTATCAACAAACATAATAAATAAATCTCAATTTGGATTTAGGGACAACCATTCAACAAACCATATACTATTTTAGACATGATGTCATACATCTATGACAAATTAAAAAATAATGAGATTGTTTGTTCTGTTTTCATTGATTTGAAGAAAGCATTCGATACAGTTGACCACAAAATTTTGCTTCATAAACTATCTAATTATGGATTTCTCGGACCCGCCCAATCACTTTTAAATAGCTACTTAACGTTCAATTTGTAAAAATTGACGATGTAGCATCTAAAACTTTACCAATAGTTTGTGGCGTCCCACAGGGATCATGTTTAGGCCCAATCCTTTTCTTAATATATATTAATGATCTCACCAACTGCTCTTATTAACGAAACTATTCGCTGACGACACCGGTCTTCTTTCAAGTCATAAATTAATTTCAACTTTAGAGAATATTGTAAACTATAAAATGCTGAAGGTACATGATTGGATGGTTTCAAATAAATTGACAATTAATATTGAAAAATCAAAATTTATGATAATTACTCCCCAAAAGCAACAGGTAAACCATGACTTATCAATAAAAATTGATGGTACTAAATTAGAAAATGTGTTATACAAATACCTAGGAATTTTTATTGATTCTGGTCTTAAATGGGACAAACATATTGAGCATGTGGTGAAAAAAATAACTAGAGCAGTCGGTATCACCTACAAGCTCAAACAATAAATGCCTACGTCAACCCTGGGCTCTGTGTATTTTTCACTCGTTCAATCTTCTGTTTAGTATGGAATCTCAGCATGGGGAGCTGCTGCACAAGAATATTTAAAACAAATTAATGTTTTACCAAACCGAATTGCTAGATCTCTCTACAATGCAGCACCTGGAACTAAGATTATTCAGCTATATTCGACACTCAACATTCTGAAATTGACAAACTTATATAATTTTGAAATTGCAAAACTAATGTATCAACACCAAAATAAATCCCTACCTGAAGCATTCGATAAATATTTTACTAAGCAGTGTAACACCCGCGCACATTACACCCGATCTTCTTCGCGTGGAAATTATATTGCTCCCAGATATTCTACTGCAAGAACACAAAACTCAATCAAATACACAGGTATCAAAATATGGAACAATATTCCACACGAAATAAAATCACATGGCTACACAACCTTCAAGAATACATATAGAAAGTATTTACTCAAAAACTACCGGTTGTCTTTATAAACTGCTTCAAGAATACATATAAAAAATATTTAATCAAAAACTACCGGTAGTCTTTATAAACTGCAGTTTTGCTGACAGTTTCATGGCCTACTGTCGTCTTTGTCATATAAATTATAAACAATAACGGTTCGCTTCACTGCCGTACCGTGACATAGCTTCCGAGTCACCTGATATAGTATTATTTTTCTTACCCGCTTGTTCCTAAACTTTTTTGTCTCTATAAATCAGATTCTGAATGCGCGTGCGGTCGCTCAGCACCCTAAACAATTTTCCAGTTCGTTGATGAATGATTGACCGATGTTAGCTAACCAACTGAAACTATAAGTGGCTGAAGTCGCCTCCGATCTCGATATATGCGCTTAAGGCCTAACCTCGACCTTGGGCCAAATTTTATTTTCTTCCTTAAAAGTTTTATGTTGCTGGTTGTACATGGAGTATAAGATGTGCCTTAGAATTCGTTCATGGAGGTTGCTTAATTTTTCTCATCAAATAAAATGATCGCTCGATTTAATGTTGCATATGACAATAGATAAAAAATTTAATCGCTACAATTATACGGAAGTACAGCTGAATGATATGGTGAATTATTTTTATAATTACTGTATATCAATTGAATTTCCCCGACATTTATTTTACATTCTCTTCCAAATCATATATGCTGATTCATATCAATCTTGTTGGTTAATTATCAAATGAATAGGTGATGAATTTCGATCTAATGCGCCCGCCGCGAAAATGGGGACAACACTAAAAGGCTGAAGGAAGAAACGGATGAAGTGGAGGAAAAACGGAAGTTGAAGTGTTCCCAATGGTGAAAAATTGAAAACACTAAAAGGCTGAACACTAAAAGGAAGAAGTGGATGAAATCATTCCCACGAATAATGAGGTGGTTGAAGTCACTAAAAAGCTGAACACTAAAAGGAAGAAGTTGATGAAATTTCTTCCGACGAATAATGAGGTAGTTGAAGTCACTAAAAAGCTGAACACTAAAAGAAAGAAATGGTTGAAATTTCTTCCGACGAATAATGAGGTGGTTGAAGTCACTAAAAAGCTGAACACAAAAAGGAAGAAGTGGATGAAATTTTTTCCGACGAATAATGAGGTGGTTGAAGTCACTAAAAAGATGAACACTGAAAGGAAGAAGTGGATGAAATTTCTTCCCACGAATAATGAGGTGGTTGAAGTCACTAAAAAGATGAACACTAAAAGGAAGAAGTGGATGAAATTTCTTCCGACGAATAATGAGGTGGTTGAAGTCACTAAAAAGATGAACACTAAAAGGAAGAAGTGGATGAAATTTCTTCCGACGAATAATGAGGTGGTTGGAGTCACTAAAAAGATGAACACTAAAAGGAAGGAGTGGATGAAATTTCTTCCGACGAATATTGAGGTGGTTGAAGTCACTAAAAAGATGAACACTAAAAGGAAGAAGTGGATGAAATTTCTTCCGACGAATAATGAGGTGGTTGAAGTCACTAAAAAGATGAACACTAAAAGGAAGAAGTGGATGAAATTTCTTCCGACGAATAATGAAGTGGTTGAAGTCACTAAAAAGATGAACGCTAAAAGGAAGAAGTAGGTGAAATTTCTTCCGACGAATAATGAGGTGGGTGAAGTCACTAAAAACTGAACACTAAAAGGAAGAAATTTCTTCCGACGAATATTGAGGTGGCGTAGGTCACTGAAAAGCTGAACACTAACAGAAAGAAGTGGATGGAATTCCTTCCGACGGATGGTGAGGTGGCTGAGGTCACTAAAAAGCTAAACACTACAAGGGGGAAGTACGTTAGGGTTAGATGATATTTTGTCCTATCGATTTTGAGGCGGTTGAAATCACTAAAATACCGAACATTAAAAGAGTTAAATAGCCAAAACATATCCCGACGGAAGTGAGATTGGATGAAGACCCTGAAAGCGGACTGATGAGTAGGCATGCCACTTTTAGATTTATGAATTGAATCGATTCAAATCGCATTTTTTTTTTCGAATCTGATTTACGCGATTCGAAAGAAAGAGAGCCGTTTAGCGAAGAAAAACAAACACTCCAAATAACACCAATTGCCAGACGGGAATGTAAATAAATTTTTCGTTATTTACGTTTATTGATCTGCCTTCATTCATTTTCATGTTCAGCGCAACACACCCTGATCATCACTCGAGATGCTGACGTGCTGTGTGGGTAATTAATTTCCTTCAATCTGTCAGTTGAGTATTCCACTGAATGATCTAAGTTTCTATCACACGCAAATTTAAATGGATCGTATACCCGAAAGTTCGTTGCAATTTTGTTAAAAATATGCAACAGCACATCTTCTCTGCGACTAAGTTATGATACGCCTTGACATGAATTGATAAACGATCAGATACCGACTTCTAGAAAACATTTAATTTTGATTGAAATTCAATTTAAACTCCGTTGAAATTGAAATATTGGTACTACTCTGAAGTACGCGCACCAAGATGTCGCACAACCTGATCCCTAACCACGTACACCAGTGATTTTCAACCTTTTTTGTATCGCGGAACACTTTTTGGACACGTAGTGGACAGAACGATCGTTTCAATATTATGTTGTTGTTGTTCTTGTTCTTTGACATGTTTTTAAAAAGTCGCTTTTCTCTTCGAATACTGGACCAATTGCTTTGAAATTTTCAGTGGTTAAAGATTAATTTTTTTGCTAGAAGGCTATTACTTTTATTTATTTCAAAATTTTGCATGAATTCTATGAAATTTGATATTTCGTCTAAAATTTTGCTGTATTATTTTTTATCCATGGGAACACGGAATTTAGTCAGTGTCATGACTGGCTGTACGTTTTGATTCTGCAGAATTCTTGCTACTGGAAATTCAGAACTTTTTTGAGGGTACCGGTAGCGTCAAAGGTACCGGTAAGGACTGATTCGCTCTGGTCTAACGTGTCCATATATTTGTGCGTAGCTTTATTCTAAAATTGTGACGGAACAACAAATGAGATTTTTGGAAATAAAACTATTATGCAATTAACTGACATCGATCATTTCGGAATAAAATAAATTAACGAAATTAATAATAGCTTGTCAACTTCAGCTGGAAAAGACGTTACACATATTCCGATTCGGAGCTAGGAACAGAAATGGTATTTTAATGTAATATCTGGGCCTGTTTCGAAAAGTTTCAATATTTTATTCTGGCTGGAATTTAATTGAGAAAGACAAACACGCAGCTCTTTCTCGATGACTCTCAATTTCTCGTGTTTCTTATACTCTTATGGCGGCCAAGAAAAGGGTGGGCAAAATAGAATATTTTTTTCGAATCAAATAATTCGAATATTCTTAACAAATACCGAATAGTCCAATACCGAATATTTTTTATACGCAGCAGGTCCAGAACGTCGCCGCCATGGATCGCCGTTGTATTTTGTAAATACGAAAATAGGAATCAAAAATTAATAATAATCGCGCAGTTGACTACACATCTATGTACATAGATTGCCGTGGTATTGTGCCCGAATATAATTAATATTTGATTCCGTTTTTCATTCCTTGAACTTAATATCTGTTTTTATAAATTTTGCAAGCAGTTCACGCACGAAGACTTTGAATAATGATGTATTAGTCAAATCGAAGTCCTGTTAGACCACTGGTTTTCAACCAATGGGCCATGGGCCACTGGTAAGCCTCAGAGGCATTTTGAGATGGGCCACAAACATATTATAAATTACAAGCTTTGTTGATTGGAAAAATTAATTTGATAACAAAATCAGCTTCACGCGTCATGAAAAACAAGATATCTATTTGCAAAACATGCCTCGCCGTAACCCACCCATTGTGGCGCAACATACCCATTATACGGCAGGAACAGCTAGATATGAATATATATATAGTAATTTGTTTGCACATTACATCAAAATTAAAAAGAATATAACGAAAATGTCATGGCCTTCAATATTCGCCAGGCTCGAACTGAGCATGACATATAAAAAATAAACAAAAAACGAATCCACGAGGACATTGTCTCATAAATACGAACAGAATAAACATTAAATTACCCAATTCTTAATATATTGAATTTCCAAGTATTCCTCACTATCCGTCGGAATAAATTTCATCCACTTCTTCCTTTTAGTGTTCAGCTTTTTAGTGACTTCGACCACCTCATTATTCGCCGGAAAAAATTTCATCCACTTCTTCCTTTTAGTGTTCAGCTTTTTAGTAACTTCAACCACCTCATTATTCGCCGGAAGAAATTTCATCCACTTCTTCCTTTTAGTGTTCAGCTTTTTAGTGACTTCAACTACCTCATTATTCGTCGGAAAAAATTTCATCCACTTCTTCCTTTCAGTGTTCAGCTTTTTAGTGACTTCAACCACCTCATTATTCGCCGGAAGAAATTTCATCCACTTCTTCCTTTTAGTGTTCAGCTTTTTAGTAACTTCAACCACCTCATTATTCGCCGGAAGAAATTTCATCCACTTCTTCCCTTTAGTGTTCAGCTTTTTAGTGACTTCAACCACCTCATTATTCGTCGGAAGAAATTTAATCCACTTCTTACTTTTAGTGTTCAGCTTTTTAGTGACTTCAACCACCTCATTATTCGTCGGAAAAATTCCATCAGCTTTTTAGTGACTTCAACCACCCTATTATTCGTCGGAAAAAATTTCATCCACCTCTTCCTTTAGTGTTCAGCTTTTTAGTGACTTCAGCCACCTAACTACCCGTCGGAAGAAATTTCATCCACTTCTTACTTTTAGTGTTCAGCCTTTTAGTGTTTTTTAATTTTTCGCCTTTGGGAACACTTCAACTTCCGTTTTCCCTCCACTTCATCCGTTTCTTCCTTCAGCCTTTTAGTGTTGTCCCGAAAATGGTGCAAAGCTGTTAAAATAAACTACCGGTACCATTACAGCATTACGCCAAGTAGGCTACCATATTCAGATATTGGTACCGTATACCAGGTATCGTTGCTAACATGAACTTGTTCACTACCGTACTAGTGAGGTGGAAATATCAAGTTATACTTTAAAGTTCTTAAACCACATTTTTGCTGTAAAGTTTTCAAAAATGTCATTTTACAAATTAGAACTTGGTCGAGATATCTCATTCTCGAAAATTGCGTTGCTGAAAACGCTCGTCTGGTCGTTGGTTCAGAGTGCTTTTTGGCTTGTTTGTCAGTAGTTTGCTACAAATCCTGAAATCAGCATAAGTTTCTGTCGATGTTTCTTCCTCAATGTGCTTGTTTTGGTAGTCTACAGTTCCTATAAAAGTGTAATACTAGTTTTGTGTAAGTGTCATCTTAAAAATATGTTGAGAGTTTTGAGGTCTCAGTTGGTGCCCCAGACTCGTGTTCACGGATTGTATTTTGTTGCGGCAACTACTAATGGTAGCCACCAGAGTACTGGGTGCAGACGATTTTCAAATGGGCCCCAAAGAAATCCCAAAAAGACCATTTCTGAAAAGTTTAATAAACTGGTTTTGACAAGTCTAAAACGATGGCCATTTCTGAAAAACTATTATGAACAAATGTTGAAAGGTAAGCTGGTAAGTCGACATTATTTTAGTAATAAGATATTGTACTAACATCAAGTCAATTCGCATTAGAGAACTAGACTAGACAACTAACATCAGCATATTATTGTATGAACACATAATTTTTTTTATTCTTTGACACAAATACCATTGGTTTCAAGAGGTTGGTCGTTGCTTTAATACTATGACTACATCAACTCTCATACTTACGATTTGAAATATTAAACTTTGAAATTAAAACTCTATGTCAGCGTGTCCAGACTATGTTGTAATGCCAGATTTATCTGTTTTCAATATTAGGCTACCTATTGTGGTACTTTGCATACCTGCCATCCTAAATGAAAATACATAATGAACTGTCAAATTTGGGCCTACTCACTAAAGGGCCTTTTTTAATATATCTTTGCAGCAACTAGAATAACTCTCGTCAAGTTTGAATTTTTTGTGTCAACGAAGAAATACTACAAAATAGTTTCAAATAATTTCATATTCTCAGTTAACTTCTGACATGCATTCTGACATGAAATTTTGACAAGCCAAACTCCTGCCTCCAATTTGCTCCAACCCATTGCATATATAAGGCATATTGTATGATCAGCCGGGGTACTTGATAGCATATTTAACTTATAGCATAAATAACTTATAGCATAATACATAAGAAGTTGTTTGTGTCTTGTCAGTTTTTTATGTCAAAGTTGACTGCTGTACTCTTTTCCATTGTAACAGTTGGTCAACCATGAATTTCTTCATCCATCATATTGAATGTTAAATTGAATATTCAATGATGAGTCCAGAATTAACATTTTTACTCCAGGTTTCAATAGACAAGTTTCTGATTTCAAAACATGGAGGTCGGTTTCCAAGAAAAGAAAACTTCAGCCGAATTACAAAACAACATATCAGGAACATAAAGCTGTGTTTGATGTAAGTTAATTAAAACTCATAGTATTTCATCACAATTTCCTGTTTGTTTGAAAAACCGTATCCCTTAATCAAAGCAAGTTCGTACATCATTTATTTTTATTTATATAATCTTACACTGTCTTTTTTTCTGAACAGGTCAAAGGCAGTCTTCTGAAAACATCATTTCTATTGCCTTTATTTCTACTGCCAATGGGAATCGTTATTGTTTTTATTCCTGTGTAAGTTTAATCCTTGTAATTGCTGTTGAACTTGAAAATATTATTATACTAGATGTAAATGATTTAAGTCATATCTTCGTGCACTTTTGTCTAGCATGGTATTGTCGAACTCAAAGGTATTCTATATGTAGGATATATAATATAAGAGGATAGTTTCAAGAATTAACTTTTGTAGCAGCAACATATTTGAAAAACAGGTTTGATTAAATTTTAACATTAAATATTATTAAACCAACATTTTGATATTTGGCACTTAAGTGAACATTTTTTTTGTCGAAAGGCAACTTTTACAGAAAATATGAAAAAAATTCTTTTACAAGTGAAAACTTTTCATTACAACTGACTTCTTGTAACAACTTGTAACTGACTTCTTGTCTTGTTCTCATCCATTCCACAGTAAACACTAGAAATGAAAAATTATTTATAAAGTATTAATAACATATTCACATAGGACACCTAAGTTTTTGAATGAATTCCATAATTCATATCGGCTAAATTAATTTAATATATATCGTATAGTAGGCTATGTCCTGCGACTCAATTTGGAAAAGTTGAATGTTCTTCACATCTTCATACATACATTGTATTTACAAATTTTCAGCGCCCTATTTCCTCAACATCTTTTACCACATTGTTACTGGAGTAAAAAGCAGCGGAAAATTTTTTTCACTGATATGCATATGAATAGAAAAATTCACCATGGAATCGTACTACATCATCTGAACTTCATTAAAGATAATCATCCTAGCGCAGCATTTCAGAGAGCTTAACAGATCTATTGACACTGGTTTGTATTGATGAACAAGAGTATTATTGTGATTAGCATTATCAGGGGTTTCCCAAACTGGGGTCCTATAAAAAGAATTTGATCAATCTTTATTTTTTTGTCGAGCCGTTGCGGAGGAATATCCATTGCTGTCAGAAAAAACTGTTGAAATTTATTGCTTTTTGCAATGACCTACATGTTGAGGCAGCATTTTTCAATATTACCAACTTGATGACCAAAATACAGGTCAACCCGTGCCATGTCGAACCGACGAGTTTGCTTGTCACATATTGCTTCGAGAATTGAATAAATTGTGCAGTGAAAAGCAACCAACATCCAGCACATTAATGTCGTTTGAGTTGTCCGTCAAAACTGAGATTCACGAATTGTTATTTATAGCAGCGCGTCTCTATAAAAATTTTGAACAGTTTCAGTAATACCTACTGCTTTAATTATTTCATATATGTTCAATTAATAGATGTTTTCAAAGAAAAGTTTTCTACTACATTTTTTTATGTGGCCATACAATGCCTTTAAAACAAATTTTTCAGGTGAATGATTCAACCAAGTCCCAACCAATGATGATCTGAGGAAGTTTCGAGAATGGTGTTCTAGTATAGAAAATCCACTAAGTTTGGATGGCTTGCCGCCAGTACTCCTGGTTCGTTGTTGATATTAATAAAAAAGTAGCTTTCGATGAGGATATTGTTTGGATAATGTTAAAGTCTACACAGATGTTGTTTCATATGTATGGTGAAATTATCTTCACAAGAGATGCTATTATTGTCGCTAGGCTCGTAAAACAAAATCCTATTCATAAACTTTTGCAGAAAACTAGACTTCACAAGAGATGCTTTATTGTAGTTTTATAAAAAAAAACGATTTCATAAATTTTTACAATAACTATATCATAAATAAAAATCTGTGTTGCACATTCGGGATATTGCAGGATTTATAAATCATTGTTCTATGGTCAGGGTACCCGATTACATTTTTGCTTCATAAGCAATTAAGAAGGAAACTTCCTTTTTTGCTACTCTGATTATACAGCAACTAAGTTAATGTTATGAAATTTTCACAGCATTCATTTTGCCATATAAACTTTCTATGGAAATATTTCCCATCACCTTGGTTGAGATATTATCTACATCATCGAGTGAAGTTAATTCTTGAATTCGATGAAAAATTAAGAAGAGAAAACCTCGTTTATGATTTATCAGAAGATGAACTGCAAGAGGTATGTACCACTGTTCATAAGTCATAGTTAATCCACTCTTGAATGTAGATATTTGGGTTTCTTTTTCACTATCATTCGTGAAAATTATATTATCTATTTTGAAGAAAGGAACAATGGGAATTTACTCTGAAATCCTATATTTATGATTAAGCTTTTCCAGGTTATTCAAATTTTAATTGGTCAATTATATTTTGAACCAAGTAGTGAATTAAGACTATCATAAATTATATTAGCACAGTAATGCCATTCTGCTGACGAGTATTCTTTCATTCTACTTGAGGACTTAGAATAGGAGTGATTCTTGTAAGATCACTGCGCAGTGATATTGCTATTGTTTGATTTTGTTTTCTATCCTTCCAGGCCACTTTTCTTAGAGGCCTCGATAGCGCAAATTTAAGTACAGAAGCAAACAGATATTGGCTCAAAAATTGGCTTCGTCATACAAGTATATTCGCAAGTAATGGTATGTATTTACTACTTTTCATATTGTTTAAAAAAATGTTCATTTTCTATGTTGAGTTTGAGCTTATCCTATAATCATATGAACAAGCTCTATCCTGTAGCAAGTATGAGCAATTACGATAATTGCTTGATTGGTTAACATAGCAGAGTGTCTAACATAGCCATTTCTTCGACATTGTCAAGGATTGTAATGACAAATAATCCTTCATCTGACTGCAAATGATAACAGTGAGCTTACCCAAGCTGTTTGTCTCTCGTCAGTTCTCACAGCTTCTTAATGAGGATTTGGTATTTTACTTTGGGGCAGTATATGTAAAAAATAATGCCTTCTCAATTATCCTGCTCTTGCAGTGTTTGTGTTTGTTTGTGTCAATTGCATTTTCTGTTTGTTTTTTGTCTGTTAAATCTGCGGTATTAAAATTTCGGACACCATTTTCCTTTTATTTAAAAAAAAATGGCGCGGCGGTGTGGCTCAACGGGCTAAGCGTTAGGAATACGCTCGCCACCGCACCTCTAATTACTCTGCGTGGGTTCGCAGGTTCGAATCCCATGCAGGGATGGTTATGTGCGAGAGGATTGCTGGACTCCTCGCCGTCGTTGGGTGGTTCACGTAACCGCTGGTCGGTTACGGCTTCCTCCACCACCAAGTCCATGCTTCCGAAAACAAACAATACAGTAAAAACTAATCCCATACCCGACTTGGAATGGTAACCGGACGAGAGGCCGTGGTTCGCCATATGGATAAGCCGTCTTATCGGCTTTCCTCTCCCCCGGGATAAATATGTAAATCCTATCCTATCCTATCCTTATTCAAAGTACAATACCTAAATTCAGTTCTGTTTTCAGCTGTGGATCCTTCCTACATTCTTCATGCTATGGTCTTTCAGTCACATAATTATTCTGATCTTCGTCATCAAAGAAGAGTATTTGATCAGACATGACATCCTCTCTTCAATTCTTTGTGTAACTTGAAGCGGTTGAAATATTTAAAGGATATGATATCCTCAATTTCTCCAAGATTAATGTGTATTAAACAAACGAAAGGCGAATTCAGGGATTTTTCTTTATGAGCTGTTTTTTTCAAGTATTCAAAATATTCAAGTACATTGAACCATATGTGAAATACAGTGCAGACCCATGTTCAAGATTTATTTTTTTGTTCTATTCTCAAAGTTTGTTGGTAAATCTGGGCCAATACATGTGTACCGTCCGTATGACCACGTTTGTACAACTTTTATTTATGATCAGGGAAACGGTTTTGTGGGTTCGATGGAGTTCTGTTGTTTCACCAGTAAGAGAGTGCAAAAACAAACAAATAGGGTTTACAACGCTATCCGAGCTGGTTAATAGGATCTTCGATGTAGTGTTCTTCTTCCAAAAGAGCCCAGAACGCCGGAAGATTTAACAAATGCCATTACTCGGCGTTAATATCACCTGATAAAATGCACTGTGACGTAATAATATTAATAATTTAATTAATTAAAATCACCTAAATTCACGCCAGTCTAAAATACATTATTGTATAAGAGGCGCTGGATTTAAAACTCTTATGATCATGGGGTAAAAATAATGAAATTGAAAAAGAAAGCAAAAGTCGGAAGCGACATTCCGCAAACAGAAGAAACTTCAAGTAAAAAAGTTTCTCGCAAAAACAAGCCTTCGAAGGACAGGACTAAAAAGGTATGACAGCGGAGTTAGATTTTCGCTTTTTTATTGTTTCATTTGCTTATGCTATTTTGGAAGTCGTTTGCAACAGTATCCAGAGATAGAGGTTCACGTATGCATTATCCGCTGGTGCAGATAATTTCAGAGGAGAGGAAAGCAGATAAGACGACTTAATCATATGGATACCGCCTCTCGTCTGGTAACAGTCCATATCTTGTATGGAATAAGTTGGCCTACATATTCCAGATGCAGGGGCGGATTAGGCCCCTTTGGTGCCCCCTCATGTGTAATTTAATCATAAAAACAATGAATCACTAATCCCGAGGGAGTGTGGCAATAAAGATTCATGCCTCCAGTGTCAACGTGAATCGAAATACCAATACCAAAGGATACAAGTCACAACTGTAGTTTGGAATTTTACCGGTACCTTGTTGTCTACCTCAGGGTTGTTCAAGGTTGCTAGGTTGAAGGACCGCAAAAACTTTTGAGGAGGTCTCGCCGGCCGCAAGTCGGAGAAAACCCAAAAGTGATCGAAATATCGCGAGTTTACTCACTTTAAATTTAATGAACAACGAGTGTTTATTGTTCTAATAAGACTATTATTATGTTGCATGGGTGGCGTCTCTTTCCCATGATCCGACGATCGCCACGCGAAAGCGGATTTAAAAAATAAAATGTTGCGCTTTGTGCTGTCGCCGGTATGGCTTTTTTTTCTGCATGATGCTTCGGGAATTTACTAGTTGAAAAAAAAACGGGAGAATATCGACCTTTACATCATTAGAGACGGTTATCGGAATGAGCAATTTATTACATCGACTAACCACAGGTTATGTAATTTGAACTTAGTGGTTCAATACTCAAACACTTTAGCCGTGTCTCATGCCGAACTTCCATTTGCATCTAACGATGTGTAGAAGGCTGTCACGTTTTGTTTTGGACCCTGCCGCATTGATCTTATTCGCTAAGTTTTTTTATCCTCAATGCACATATGTAGAAGAGTATATTATATTATTTTCGTAATGTTCCTGAGAAACGTGTAAATGATAACTCATAGAATAGAGTTCAGGGTCGGACTGTTAGACGTATAGCCTACTTGTCCACAGACGTATGTAACCCCGGGACAATATTGCACTAACATAAGAGATTCTTACTGATGCCAAATGCGTGCCTGTAAAATATAAAGAACTCGTGTCATTATTCTCCTGGATCCCCTTGTCCACTTTCATGTCTGCTCTCTCTTTTGCTAGTGTTACTTTCTTTTAATACTCTTTGCTGATCTTGCTTGCCTGTTCCGGGGGCCTACCCCTGTCTGCTGGTGGTTCTTTTTATCTCCATTTTCATGTCTGCGGTCTCGCTTTAAATCCGCCCTGTCCTGACCTTGGCCTCGCTGTCTGACTGCCGCTTGCTCTTTTGCTGGTTTCTCTTCGCTTTCTAATTACTCGGTTCCTGGACTGGGCTGCCTCTTTTATTCCATGTCTGACTGCCGCTTGGCCTCTCTGGTTCATGTTATCCTTGCTCTTTTTTGCTCGCTTGCTAATGAATGTGGCCGGGACTGGAATTGTCCTTTTTCATTGTTTATTATTTTATTTATATTTCTTTCTGTTATTGCATATGCATTGGTGATTTGGTGTGTTGGATGTTTGAGCCCCTAAATTTGCCCGATAGTTGGATCCAGTTACTCGACTCCAACCACCACTGCATATGTGAACTGTGCTGTGGGTTCACAGCGTCGGTCTCTTCTTGGTTTTGTGCTGTCCCAGAGTAGCATCATATTTTATAGCTCTTATTTTATCTGCTTTAAGAGTGGATTTACACTATTTAATAAAGTCTATCCGCTCTGATTTTTTTCTGACGGTTGGTTTTTGGGGACTGCCCGCTGGGGCTTGACCGTGAGCTCTGGGTTTACCTCTCTGGTTTCATATTTTCACTTTCCATGGCGACTGGCCTTTCCTTCTGCATCTTCTTCTTGGTATGGCTACTTCTATTTCGGGCTTGTCGGGGCCTCGCCTCTCCAGGGGTCTTGACAATTTCCTTTCGGAGCTGCTGGTTCTGGCTTTGACCGGCTTTTGTCTTGTCTGGCTATCACTGCAGCTCAACTAGCCACCTTTTTCTGCTGGGCTAATTTTATCTCCCCCGGTTGTTTACCTGTTGCCTCTCTGGTTCACATATTTTCCCTTAAAATGGTAACTGGGCCTTTTTTCTGGCTCTTTTTTGGTTGGCTGTTCTATTTTGCTTGTCGTGTTTCGTCTCTCGGGGTGTAAAAAAATTTCCCTTTAAGGAACTGCTGTTCTGGCTTGATCGCCTCTTGTCTTGTCATACTGTCCTTGGAAAGCCTCCAGCTGGCACCACTCTCCCTGGTGTTCATTTATCTACCCGTTGTTAACTTGTTTGGTTGGCCTGTTGTATAATGGCTCGGATCTGGGCTCCACTTTCCTTCATGGGATGGCGACCCATGTTTTTGGGCTGCCGCGGCCTTTCAATCTTCTTGGCGCTCACCTTGGGCTGTTATCCTCGCTTGCTCACCGAATCCCTTTCCTATCTCGACCGCCTGTCTTGTCTGCTGGCCCATCCCTACAAACTCAGTCTAGCTTGCGGGGCTCGAACCTACTGTCTTACTTCGCCTGATGTTTGACCATGTCCTACGTTTCCCCTGAGCCACTGCTACTGACGAAGGGCGATTGTATCAGAATCTAACTTAATTAACAACGTCACGCCGGGACAGCCCACGACGAGGCCAATAACCTCGAAAAATTACATCAAACATACGGAGTTTATCCGAAGCAGGTATCATGCCTACTATAAATACCGTTCGTCTGGGACTATTGTGTTGCGCTGCTTTAATTAAGAATTGAATGTGTGAATATCCATGATATCCCGTTTTACATTTGTGGTTCATTTGCCCGTGACATGCTACGCAGGCACTAAATATGAAACGCAGTAACTTGCGTCGTGCGTGTGCGATGTACATTTCTATTCATTCTGATCATACACTGAGGCCCGATTCTGATTAAATACTGGTCTAATCAATTTAAAGACTATGGTCAAGCAGTATTCCATTATATTATAAATGCATTCCTTGGGATTCTATTGCAGGTTGTGTATAGAAAATTCGATGGTGCCCAAAGTAGGTTCTTATTTTGGTTAATGGTTAATTAAGCACTGTATATAGGGCATCGAAGTCTCAAGTGTTTACGACACCCGAAAGACATGATCTGGCCCTGCAATACCTGCTATGTATTGCTAAACCGCATTCTTCCGAGGGATTTTGGAAATGTGTCACGAAGCCATTGAGCACTCCAGTTGTCGTGAATACTCGAATACAAATTGCTGCACAGATGTTTGATTTCGTATATAACGTCATGGTGGTGATGTACATTGCTTCACAAATTTGTTTATGGGAATTGTGTTGAATGGGTGTTTCTCCAAGCGTCGACTTCCTTGTTTATTTCTGTGACGATTCACAATCAGCAAAAAGTCAACGATGAATTATAATTTTTCTGCCGTTCAGACACTTCGTTCGCCCAGACAGATATTCAAGCATGGTTGTAAACATTGCCTCGTTTCCGGCGTTTTGCGTCTTATTTGTTCGTCAAATATTCGTCCCGGAAAAGCTGCGATATATATACTAGATTGAAATCAGCTATCAGTACCTGTAAGCGGCACGTGGTTGTATATTTATTCAAAAGTAATGATTTTGAGCATGTAAATCAATTTGTGAGTGTCAAATCTTCAAGACACTCCTCATTTTGCAATGGTATGAAGTGAATGGGTTAGGAGTCGGGGAAATATCATTACCAACAATCTTTTAAATGTTTCGATGAAAATTATATGTACATATGTACAGTTCCATACATATGTACTCATATGTACATAATTCTATTAGATAATGAATTCAACATTAAAAATTGAAACCATAACTTGAGTGAGCTTCTTGCTATATGAGCAACAAACGCCGGAAGTTTCAAGTTATGCTATTATTCGGCGTAAATATCTCGTGCTACAATGTACTGTGACGTAATAATATTAATAATTTAATTCATTAAAATCACCCAAATTTCACGCCAGTCTAAAATACATTATTGTATGGAAGGCGCTGGATTTAAAATTCCTATGATCATGGGGTAAAAATAATGAAATTTAAAAAGAAAGCAAAAGTCGGAAGCGACATTCCGCAAACAGAAGAAACTTCAAGTGAAAAAGTTTCTCGCAAAAAGAAGCCTTCGAGGGATAAGCATAAAAAGGTATGATGGCGGAGCTAGATTTTCTCTTTTTTCATTGTTCTCTTTGCTTATGCTATCTTTGGGGTCGTGTGCATAGACAAGTTTTTGACTTATGCATTCTCAGTGTTGTAGATTTCATTATTGTTGGAAGATCTTAGCACTTCTGCTTACCTGACCTGTTTTTAGGATGCTTCTCTGTCTAACTCACAGAGCTTGGATTTGTGTACTTCATTGGTTTAACTTCTGTTATGGTCGGCGGTATTTTCGTCGCTCTCCATCTCATCTGTTCAATGGATAATTTTTTCCTTCTGCCACCAAGCAAACCTATTCTGTCAGTTTTGAGAACAAGGAGCACATATTTATTTGTTAAAATACACCGCTATATTATGACATTTGTCCCGCAAAATTGAAAGCTTTTTCTATGTTTTAGTCCAATAACATAAAAAGTGATAATCGCATCGTGTCAACAAATTTTTACTATACATATAATTTCTGTATTTCCAAGATTTTCTGACGACATCAGTTTCTGGAAAATTATTGGAAGTTATAATATTCGTTCTTGAGTGCTTCTGACGCTTACTCCAAAATCACAAAAAAGCTAGGCCTCATTGTCATTGATAATATTCACCATGATCTTTTTTCTCCGATGCACATATATATAAGAATATATTATTTTTTTCATGTTCGTGAGAAACATGTAGATAATAAAACATCATTTTTACTGAATTTGCCATGGGCCTATCGCTGATCGTTATTATTTATCAATTATCTTTTATTTCATCTTAATTTTTTCTCTGGGCCGCTCGCTGATTTTACTGATCGACCGACATGGGCGTCTTCGATTTTTCCCTATTCTCATCTTCCATCCTAATTTTCCTTGCCTCGCTACTGGATTTACAAATTATTTGAACGTGGAACTTGGTAATACACGCTGAGTTGCTTTATTTTGCAACGTACGTTACCTATCAATGAGCCAGACTCGATTTTGATTTTTTCATCCCATTCACATTTTTCATCTTAATTTATTTTCCTCGTGCCTCGCTGATTTCCATTTCTTTATTTTTCCTGCCCTCCTAACTGACAAATCCATTCATATTACCGATACATTCTGGTTTTGATGGCTACGAAAACTAGCCCACGGCTAGCCAATCAAAGCAGGGAACAAATAGGCCAGCTGTCCTCATCATCGCGAAGCCAACCATCTAATAACTAACCTATGCCACAACTTTCCATTTCATGAATTCGGGATGTTTCCTGACCTCTATATTACAAGACCATATAGATCGAGAGTTGACAACACAGCCTACAGAATGGTGTTATAATACGTTATAATTGTACTGTAGGTTATGAATTTGTCAAAATTTTCTAACCCTCTAAGAAATTTCCACCGGCGCCGACAATTGTCTTGCATTACATATTACTGTAACCAATACTGACATTTCAGGGTAATGAATTTAAAAATATTCAGCAGAATCGCCCGTGAATTTCACTGGATATAACTGAAAACCCTTACGGATTTGGCCTATAAACTCACATTCAAAATTAGAAGATCCCGCCATAACTTTTCCATAATGGCTGAATGAATATAACGAATGATAATATTAAACAAGGTACATTTATAAAAATAAATTAAACGCTGGACGGGTATCAACATGAAATGAATGAGAAAAAGGTGATAGTAATAAATTGTACAAAAAATAAGCAATCCGAAGAAAAAAAAAACTTCATACAGTATTAAAGTTATTTAACATGCTGTTAGTCTTAAACAAGTCTTTTAAATACCGCCAAGCCCAGGTTGACGTTGCTCATGATGCTGGATTTATTACACTTGGGTGAGATGCTGCACACATGATTAGAATATGCAGTGCCAACATCATTGGATCAAGCCATCAAAAGAATCGAAGTTCAATATTACTCATGTTAATTATTAAAAGTTTTATGGTGTCCTGATTTTCGAATGAATGTAATTTTCATCTTTTTGCTTGTTCGCACGCTGGGCTGGTTCAAATATCAATTCAATTCGTTTATTACTCCAGACCGCTGTGGTCCATATAAAAATAACACAACGAATAAACATAAGCAAAACAAAAATAACGCAATAAATACATAAAATACCTGATATGACAATCAGATTCACAGTAAGTCTCAAAAAAGAGTTATAATATAGCAATTTAAGAGACCAAAAGTGAGGTATAGAATCTAAGATAGCCCGTAACAAACAGTATCTGGGAATCAAATAATGATTGTAATAGAATGTTATTGGAGTTTCTGCATCTCGTCATGAACAACCACAGATTTTTTCTATGGAGTGCTTCGAAAGAGGGAATGTTCCCAGATACCAATTTGTGACGGACACTCTCAGATCTAGAGACACAGTGAATTACGCGATAAGCATTATTATATGAAATTTTAACTTTTTTATAATTATAATTATTGAAAAACAACCAGAGCTGGCAGTTATAAATGCTACAACAATACGTCCTAAATAAAAGATTTTTCACAGTAGTGGAACAATTGACAAATTTTTTCAAAATTGTATGGGCTATATCGAATGATAGCGCAATGTTTTTCTCCTAATTAAGTTCTCTGCAAAGCTCCATTGAAATGTTTAGAGACCACAGATTTTAAATTGTAAGAAGGATGTCCTACTAGAATAAAATGCTTTGACGATCCACAGTAAAAACTTTACTTGCAATTCGTGTTTGGTCAGCTGACCTACTTCAACAAACGTATTTTGATTTTGGAAATATTAAGGTGTTGTAAACATCGAACGGAGGAAGGTGTTGTAAACCTTCTGTCAGAAGTGAATCTAAATTTGCTGAATTTTTTTTTTTCTATATCGCAATCCCTTTTACTTCGAACTTGTACTCCTCAAATCTTCAGTTTAAATAAATGATACAGATTATTTATTTTTTTCAAAACTGACCAGTTGTGAATATTCTAACGAGTCTTATACAGCTAATTAAATTGTCTGATATTCATCCGCACGGGTATGGTAGAAATGCCAAATGTTACCAAGCCTTGAATTCGAATGAGGGTTCGTCCGTTTTGTACTGTCTCTTTGATGGTTTCGGATATATACTAAGACTATTTATATCGGGCAATACTCTATGCTTTAGGGCTTAGGCAATGAGACAACTAACTTCTATGTTTAATGTGCGGATGCAAATGATCATGAATAGACCTCAGTGATTGTACTAAAAATGTTCTGCGGTATAAAGTAATACCAAAATCAACGCACCATTAACAAAATATCGAAACACATCGCTTATGACGTCATAAAGACATATGAAATTATAATTACATTAAATTCGCATAAAATCAGGTCATTTCAAAATACATTATTGTATGAGAGGCGCTGTATTTTAAACTCATTTAATCATGGGGTAGAAATAATGAAATTGAGAAAAAAGGTGGACGTCGGAAACGACATTCCACGAAAAGAAGGAACTTCGAGTAAAAAGGTTTCTAACAAAAGGAGAGCCAAGCCTAATTCTAACAAAGAGAAGGTGAGAGGATGAACTGCTAAATTCTAATATTTGCTGATTTTTAGCAAAATAGTGTTACTAATGAAATCGAACTGGAGTATATAAAGTAATTGTGAACGATAAAACGAAGTTAAAATCTAGATGTTTTGGTCTCTAGAATATTCAAAATAACATTTTTAAAGGTACTTATGTGCCTATTTAAAAACTTGGGCGAAATGTGGCAACCAGAAAATTGAACTTTCGATTAGAAAATGCACATGACCCGAATGACGCTGCTTGATTCAGAGTGATCGTTACTTTGTCTTCTTTAGTCGTATGAAAACGTTCCTCAAACTTAGGTGTCCAATGCGTGTTTGCCGACCCCCGACTCACCCAGAATTCAGCCCAACTAACACTCACATAAATTTGTGGGCACAATGAAGGGCACGTAGCAACGAGGAACTGTATGCTCGGGAAAACATTGACTTCATTAGAAGTTGCGATAGTTTTAATATATATATATAGATCATTGCGTTCTATTGCGGTAACGAGAATATTTGCACTTAATAACAAACACATCGATGAATCCCTTATCTCGTACACAATAGAATCTATATTAAAATCTTGGAGCTCCTGAAGTATGCGCACCAAAGTGTCGCATAACCTGAACCTTGACCTGGTACACAACCTGAGTTCAGGTTGTGCGCCATCTTGGTGCGCATACTTCAAGAGGCCAAAAATCGTTCTGAATAACTGTATCTTCATAATTTCGTCATATTTTCCAATAAAAAAAATATTAGTGTTGACTAACCTTAGTCTGTTATAGTCGATAGTTTTCAATCCGACCCTAAATTTTGGGATTTTTAAATTTCAAATCTGAGACTATCCCGTCCACTATAAAAGATATAATAAAATCTCTTCCGATAACTGTACCTCCACGATTTTTTAATATTTTCAAAAAATAATGTTGGTGTTGACTGACCTTAGTTATTGTCGGTAGTTTTTAATCCAATCCTTAATTTTAGAGTGTACAAAATTCAAAATACAAAGTCGCCAGCTCTTGATAATTTGAATTACAATCTTAACAAAGTATTGACGGCATGTCCGTTAATTTTGGGATTTTTCAACTCTTATTGATTCGCAGTACCGGCATTCTTCTAACAACCAAACTTGGTGGAGGTGCTCTGTCCATTTGAAACCCTGAACGGCTGGATGTTCGTTAAGTCTATGACCTCATAACGGCGGGTGACGTCATAACGGGGGGAGTTTGATGGCACATAGTACGGTACCTGATTGAGAACTTCGCAGTTCGCACGTTCCCTAATTTGACAGTGGGCAAATAATTCAGCGAGGTTTGCTAGTGAAATGGAGGCAAACAAACAACAAAGTTTAATCCAGTTCTTTCGAAAGAAACCCAGCGGTGAAAACCAAGTTAGTGATGTTGACAGGATAGAGTAAGAGACTGCTACTTTACAACATGTCCCGAAACGACCTTGCAGCAATGTTGATATGGATCACGAAGAAACAAGCAAAAACGAAAGGGAGACTTTATTAGGCAGTATGATAAGAAGTATTTGGAGCTAGGTTTCACTATTGCTCCCAGCAGCGAAAAAGTACCGCTTTCCATGTGCCTAGACTGCGCCAGAATTCTTCCAAACAACGCAATGAAACCAGCAAAGCTAACCAAATCATGTGGAAGTCAACGTTCCACTTCGCCTTGCAGAAATTTCATTAGAACCGCGTTTAACACGTGTGATATCAAAAAGACAGCTGCAAATTTCTCAATAAATTGGATGGTTTTCCTTTGCAAAAAGGTTGAGAACCACTGTTTCTAATGTTCATCCGTGAATCAAGTCTGTATCTGAGATTTGTTTATTTGCATGATTGAGAATGCCCGCAATAGGAAAATCCAGTGCGAAAGTATACAAGCATTCCGGTGTTAGTATTGAAAAGCAAATCGTAGCCTACAAATCACTTTGAAAACAGAAAAGTTCATAGGGGTTAACAAAATGTTGTCAAATTAGACATTGGGACTATTTGTTAATTACTGTTTCTGATAGAACAAGGAGCTAGGTATGTGTCGATTAATAAAATGATCACGATTCAAACGCGATTTGCGCTAAATATAAAAAATCACGTTCTACCCACCTAACGCCTTGCTACTGTAGTGTGAATCAACATTATGATTTAATATAAATTCCAGAATTATTTTTTACTAAAACGTTCACGAACCACGTTCGAACTTCGAGGTGCCACATTGGGCATGCGTGCCTTGTGTAGTGCACTTCTGTTCTAGACACATAAACAACTTCAAATGATAATTATACGAATACCCATTAGAATCGCTGAATATTGTTTGTTTTGCAGGATTCAAAGAACTCAGAGGGTTCGGGACCTTCGCCCACATCCTTAAACTGCTTCCTTGCAGGATTGTTATGGATCCTGAAAATTTTTCGACTGGCAAAAAAGAATAAGGTAAAAAATATATGTTATATAATTTCTCTATATATATATGACCACGTCATTTACTCAATAATGCCAATAGGGACGGGCTTGTCGGTAAGTTTTCCGCTATTTATTTGCAACCAGCCGATAAATTCTCGGTTGAAGATGATAAATTTTACCATTTTCCTACTCTCAGTTTAGGCATGGATTTGCGTGGTTGTTATAAAACTGCTGGTCCTAAATTTGAGCAAGCTTGTAACAATTACTAGAGGGTGCAGGTTATTGTGTATTGAACTGACTAAATCTTTCCTCTTTATTGTACTTCCAAAATTACCCGTTATCCTAATGATCAAACCTACTTCTGTCTTACTTCACGTTTAATTCTGTAGGCGCAATTGATACTTGTCGTACGTCATTTCTGCGCGCCCATTAACTAACGCCCCATCCCTTAAGTCACGAACTCGAGTAAACCTTTCTCCAAGACAATCTAATCATTAATTTCATGTTAGACATGTTTTTTATGGATTCCGAGTAGCCTAGCTGTAATCTTCACGTACCGGGGCTTGAGATCTCCTATGCCTCATAAAAAAATGTGCCCATTCCTCCAAGAAACAATGGTCAAAAGCAAAACGGCCACTAGTCCGTTTTGTTTTTGTGCTCGTTCCTGTTTTTTTCACTAGTTTGGAACCAAACTCTATATCCATAAGCCTAACTTTTTTTTTATCTGCGGATTGATAGTGGGGGGGACACATGTCACGATTATACTTTCCTGTCCAACAACTCGTTGGGATGAAACTAAATTTGATCTCGACACAAATAGAATAATCGTATTAGAAAAACAAAATATAGATGTAATTCTCGACAGAGCGATTAGACGCAAGCAGTTGTTGTTTGCGTGGAGTCTCATTGTGTTTTCCGCACCTGTCAAACATTAGTGAGCTCAATTATGCCACTAGGCTGTATGTCAAAAGCGTGGCCCTTTGAGAGCCGGGAAAATGCTGCATTGTGTGTGAGCTTTGATCTGCTGTCTTGGCTTCCAAAACGCTGTTTATGCAAATATAGAATGATGCTATAGTATAGGCCCTATACTATAGGGTATAGGCTGATTGTAGGGACCAAGATTGCATACCACGTTGCTGCTAATACTGTTGTGTTCAGACTCTGTCACCTTAAATCTCCATCATACACCTAAACGAATGCTTTCATATTTAGGTTCCAGTCCAAGAAAATGAAACTGGATCTGATTACCATCCTTGTTTGGAGAGTGCAGTCACCAAGTCGATGGGCGAAAACCAACAGCCCCATCCGTCTGCAGGCACAGTTACAACTTTGAATGAGACTGTTACTTCCGGCACTGTCTCACAGGTAACATATTAAACGTCGAATGATAATAGCTGCAGGAAAGCAAAATATTTGAAAAACAAATAAACAAAATATTGTATACCTACAGTTTCATTCCTTTTTTTTTGAAAAAGCTATCAGTTGTCCTCGAATGATCACTTAAATCAAAAAGAGCTCACATCTTTAACACGTCAGTAGTTTATTACTCTCTCCCATTTTAGGTCATCAAAAAACTGATAAATGCCACTATATATAATTATATACTCTAACGATATCTAAGCAAGTATAACTAGCTTTTTTCTTCGTCCATAACTCGACACAATAGTTCGAAACACCAAAAAAATGAAGACGCATGAAATGTTGCAAAAGTTTTTGATTTCATTTCTTCATAAAATTTTTACCTTGTTAGATGCCAAAAGAAGCATATCATGACGAATATAGTTCGTTAGAAAGTCTGCCGTGCGCTGATTCACAATCTTCTGAGGCCTGCGCCTCCGACGCCGAATTAAAAGAACTTATTGCCAAAATGAATTATCGCCAAACATCATTTCACACTTGGGCATCGTATCCAAATCTATGCCAAGGAGTTATGGAACTGCACATCGCGAAATCGTCATATTTCAAAGTATCCGTCTCTTGTCCAAATCTGAAATATGTATTCGGTACATTGGATGGCATAATGAAATCGCGTTTGCATGTTTCTGCGTCGTGCTCAGATCTGTTGAATCAAAAGGTGGAATCGGAAATTTTGCAGTTGGCCAGACGATCACTTTCTGCTTCATGCCCGAGTTTGATTCGCCATGAGAAGGAAAGGAAAATACCATCACAGCTGCCATCTTTGCCTGATTTATGCGGTTTCAGCAGTCAGAAGGACAATGTTGATACCCCAATGCTCGCACTTAATAATATCGACGCGAATACACCTGCTTTCCAGTCTGTCACAAGAATTGTAACGAGCCAGTTTGTCCTTGATGGCGAATTCGGGAAAACAACATCGAAACACGTCTCCGGACTTAGATCGAGTTCATCTGTAATGCTCGCCGCAAAATCTTGTTTGAAGATGTCAGTTTCATTACCTAATTTATTTCACCAAAGTGAAGTACTGGTGAAAATGGAATCGAGTTTGTACATTTCTGTATCCTGCCCAGACTTGAGAAAGCAATCTAATGAAATTGCAATATCAAAATTATCTGCTTCTCCCATTTTTGCCTCTTTCAAACAATCAGATCATTTAGACTTTGAAATGTCAATGCCAGCAAGACATTCATCTCCACGAATGATCGATTTCAAAGAGGGAGAATCCCAGAACATGGAACATTGCCTTACAGAACCGGATCTTGATGTAACAGGTGGACAACCGCGCGAATCAAAGTCGCCATTATCGCATGCTCTTGTTGAAAAAATTGATGAAAATCGACTTGTCCCCGTAAAGGAAGACACAAACTTGCTCCTTGATCAAGCATCGATTTTGTCTGAATCAAGTCTGGTAATTGAGAAAAAAGAATTACAAGTCCGCGAATTCGCATTTCGTACTAGTGTGTCGTATCCAAATTTACTTCAAGCAGGAGTGCAAATAAATGGTGGGAAATTATTACATCCGAGATCTACACCCTCCAGCCCTGATCTATTTTACCTGAGTCCGAGTTCAATTGATAGGGAATTCTCACAATTGCATATTTCTGCTTGTTTGTTAGATTTGATCAAGCGATTGAAATTGCCACAACATTTGAACCAGCCACCTGCTACAAGTTCGGTTTTATCCGATTCAGGCGAACAAACCCAAAATCTTGATTTAATACACGCCGAATCGAGGGAAACAAAAGAAGATCCGAATATTGCTATTCCGAAACTGGACTTGAGCAAAGTATATGATGGAGAAGGAGATAAAACATCTTCTTCTCACGATCCAGTTACTGGGCCATGTACAGTCGTTACCCATTTTCGGAACACAGAATCTGTGAACATACCATCATCTCTTCCAAATTTATCTCAGATTCCTGAGATAGCAAAGAACGAGGAATTACAAATAAAATCTTCTCTTCCCTACTTGCTCCATGCTGAAGAAATCAGCAACAACAACCGACATGTAAACGTAGTGCGTCATGGCCACAGCTAGATCCGGTCAAATCAGTTAGAAATCTCTGTGTTCCAAAACTTGACCTGAGTCTGCTAGACTCGGAAGAAGAACCTGTCATCAGAGGAAGGATGACAATGGCAGGGATACGTAGTTCGTCGTCATGGCCACAGCTACATCCGGTCAAATCAGTTAGAAATCTTTGTGTTCCAAAACTCGACCTGAGTCAGCTAGACTCAGAAGAAGAACCTCCCATCAGATCAAGAATGGCAATGACATTTACCAGGAAACCTGCAAATAAATATATTCAAATTCTACGTTCAGCTAATTCTCTCCCCGACATTCCTCATGGTGCAGCTGAAGTGAGAACATTAAAAAAATCACAGCTCAAAAAATACCCTTCTTCGCCAAATTTAAAGGCATTAGTACCTCAAAGATTTACTGGACCATCAAACCTTTTGACGTGCATGTACTTCATTCTCTCCAACAAAGACCTAAGAGCGCAGGTTCTTCATCTGTACCTGGTTATATACAAGAGCCATCTAAAATGCACTCAAAAACAATACATTTTCCCGTTTCGATTGGCGATTACCAAATGACAAAACCTCGAAATGAAAATGAAAACTTCCAATGTAGGCCCTCATGGGCGTACGGCAAATATCCACGTGAATTTAAACCGGAATTAGCAATTTTTTCTAATCTTGGTATTAACGATAAAGAACAAGTGAACTCATCGGAAGACGAGTCTTCTGAGTTTAATACGGAACCGGAATATTATCCATACCGTCAAACACTTTCACCCATCCTGGAGGAATCGGAAGAAGATATGCAAAACATACCGCCTACACCAACACCCGGTTCCTTTCCAATTCAAGTAAAGAGTGTAAATGAAATAGTTGCATCAGATTTAGCTACTAAAATTTCTGCAATTATTGCTCACTCAGTAACTTCAATCTGTTACGAAGCAAATTCGGTGGGATCTTGCATGGACGAGGTGGAAAGAATGCCGGAGTCAACAAAAATCAATAAGGTATTATTAATGCTACTAATTATCAATGAACCAAATAATAGTACAAATATTCTCATCCCGATTTACGCGTAAGTTTATACTGTTAATACTGCTTGTGATATTGATAATTGCTCCCGCGCGAAAATAAACGTGAATCCTTACCAACTTGTTCCATTGTTCACACCATATATGTAAAGAAAAATACACAACATCAAATAATATTTCTTTCGTTATCATCACGAAAATTAAACATATGACATTTACTTCAGACTATATCTGACACTTCTGTCGAAAGTGCTGCTGAAGATATTTCAACGTCTCCGAGCCATACACCAGTAGTGGACAGGACGACTTTGTCAGATGAACAACATCTTGATGTAGGAGATGTGCAAACAAAGGTTACTTTTCTTCAATATGCAAAAAATCTTTGGCTTAATTTGGCCTTGTCAAAAGATTTAAACATTCATGATTATGAGTCAATTTATCATGGCTTCGGAATCTTGATGCAATGAAATTGTGGAGGTAGTATAGTTAGCGAAGTGTTTGACGAAATATTAGATTACATGACACAGTCGCAAATATTTAAAATGTTTCCACACATAGGTAGAGAATTTCATTCTACGTCACAGTGTCGCTTTAAAATAATGTGAAATCCCACTGAAGTAAGGAACTTTGTAATGTCGAGTTCCCAAAATATATGGTAATGAACAAGATAGCAAAAATACAGTATAGAATACATGTGGAACTCCTACTCGCGCTGCCATTATCGTGAACTTATTTACACCATTTCACCCATTACATCTTTACGTTATAGGCGGCAACCACTTCCATCAAAGATGTTACCGAAAAAAAGTTGACATCTTCAATCCATTCACCGGAAAACGTTGCAATAACTAATGAATTGACAAAAAAGGAAAAACTTGGTCAGGAAGACGAAGTTCAATCTAAAAACACCGATCTCTCCTTTGGGGTAAATTTTTTGCCTAAATTTACTTGACCTAAGCTTGATAAAATAATATTTTCGTGGCAAATGATTTTTATAGCCCGTAAAAGTTGGCGTTGAACAAAATTAGTGATACACGCAGTATTTATTATTCGAGTATATTAATTACAGTTCAATTATATATCATTATTCTCATAATATAGGATCAAGAAAAACACACAAATGACAAAGACCAATCAATGAATTTGAAGCCAATCATAGCATGCGAACAGATCACGTAATTAAAATTACAAAAGCAGTTGAGATGGGTTCACATGTGGGCGATGTGGAAGCATCACCGAATTCCACGAAAATCATCAAGGTATTATAAAAAGATGAGTTTCAATTTTCTACTTAATTTCATTTTAAGAGTCGCGAATCTTTCCATTATTTTCATTCGAATGAAAAGAGTCGTAGCTTTATTTTAAGTTTTAAGTCTTTATTTTTTTGTACGTGATACCAAAAATTATTTTGCCATTAAATTTGTGCCGCTTACGAAAGAAAGATTTGCAGAATTGCGATACGGACTGCAAAGATTATTATTACGCTACTTGTATCGCAAACATAGGATACAACATATCTGATATATTTTTATAGACTGCATCTATTACTATTGACGGCACCATGGAGGAAAACCCTACATTTCCAAATCAAATGCCAGTAGTAAATGACAAAAAAAAGAAGCCGCTGAAAAAGGGGACGGAAACGGAGACTTTGATCGGACAGGAAAAATCCTGGTAAGTAATAGAAGTAAATTATTTTGACTGTAATAAATTAACTAATAATTTTGGAAATAATGACATCAAGGCTAAAAATAATTCCGAAGTCATAAATATTGGAGAATATTCAAGAACATTCCAATATGATATTTCAACATAACATGCGAAATAGCGAATAATTTCCCGTGTGATATGTCGAATGACCTTGTTTTACATGAATAATCTGTGTAAGAACGGTCTCGAATAATCGAGAAAATTGTTGTACCCCTTTAAATGCGATCTCGAACATAGAAGAGATCGTCATCATTATCGTCAAATATTAATAATCTGATGATCTCTACTCTTAAGAATAATAACTTGAAATTGTAAGTTGGTTTATTTGATTTAATTTATTGTAATATATTTATTGAAGGAAATAGAATATATACAGGCAATTGTCTAGATCCTTGCTGTTATATCAAATTAACAGACATCTCGACTTGAATAAGTAACCTATTATATATTCTGTTTGGAGTCAGATTAATATCTAACTAGTTTAATTAGCAACTACAACAGAAGACGTTTCATGACTAATTTACTTCACCAAAAAAGGAGATGATCTCTGTTTTATTTACGTACCTAGCACAAATAGAAAGTGTAGCCTTAATTACCTATTATTTGAAAGTTTTATCTACATACTCAGTTGATGAGCAATAGGGTTTACTAAACAAGTAATATAACATGGATTTTACGAAAAAGGAACAACATATTCAGAAGAAGAACGAGGACAAGATGAGTGTAATCGATCCTATTCCGTTCCAAGAACTCGATTCTCATCTACCACAATCAAACAAAAGTTTCATTGAGAAGGCAACTCAGACGAGCGATCTAGAGGCAGAGAAGTTTTCTTCGAAATTCACAAAGGTATTACACATTTTGATTCCAGATACCAGTTATTTTACTATTTTTATTCAAGTATTTTCAAGTAAATTATATCGTTTTCAGAAGCAAAAAAAGAAAGTTGAAGTGTCGAAAGGAAATACAGAATCAGTATGTCGAATTTTTTCCAATATCATTCTATTCCATAATACTGTAAATTTAAACTTCGTACCGACGTATAATGTAGAGTCGAGGTGAACATATCTATAATAAAATAGGTAATATATACTGGCTATAAATGCAAAGCAAAAAACTGATCAATGATAATGCTATCGATATGTGCAGATACATTAGTACAAGTATTACAACATCATTTCCTTACTATAGGATCAAAAAGTTCAGAAAAAAGTACGCGCTGCACTTCTTACGACATCGAGCAAAAGTTCGACAAAGTTTGAATCGAAGAAGGACAATGTAAAAACAACGAAGTCCACAAAAAAGGTAACATAAAAATGATAAGTCCAGCTGCACACTAACACAAATGTATTTCTGTAACGTTTCGTCCGACCAGAGTCAGACTTCCTCAGACAAGCAGTTTACAACAATCATGTAATCATTGTTGTAAACTGCTTGTCTGAGGAAGTCTGACTGTGGTCGGACGAAACGTTACAGAAATACATTTGTGTTAGTGTGCAGCTGGACTCATTAATTGAATAGAATAGTCATGTTTATTCCTGTATGTTGAAAATTATTATAATTAAATTAAAATATAATAATATTATACTCCATATTATGGTGGGATAATGTGAATTTCAAAACAATTATTATGGCAATTAAAAAAGATGAGTCTAGATTTCACCTACGAGAAAAAATGAAATAATATTGATTTTATTAGCATGGATGGATGACAACAGATAGTGATGTAGCAAAATTGTAAACTGTTTTTCTGAAGTATAATGATCGGAAAGAAATAATAATTTTTCAAAGTGCCCTGTATAACTATATTAAAACAAATATGACAGCAACACAAATATTGAAAAGTGGTCTTTACTATTATTCCAAAACCAAGTTTTAAGTGAGATTTTCCATTTGATCGACAGATCATATTCCATAGATGTAAGCAGTAATGATTGAATTTATTAACCACAGTACAAGTATTAAGATTGGATTTCGTATTATAGGATCAAGAACCTCGGAAGAAAAGTGATGGCAAGATGCGTGCAATAAATTCTATTCCGCGCAAAACACTCAAAACAAATCTTCCAGCATCGCACAAAAGTTTAACTAACAAGGAATCGCAAATGAACGATATGGGGGCAGCGAAGTCAAAAGTAATACAAAATGATGATTCCACATACTAGAAGTTTTCCGTATTTATTATTTAATGCTTTTAAGTAAATCATATTGTTTTTAGAAGCAAGTGAAGGGGAAGAAAGATAAAGTACCGAAAGGAAATATAAAATCAGTATGATATATATTATTATTATAATAGTATTTTACTTTACAATACTGGAACCCATCACATAGGTAAAATAGGTACAGTAAACACATACGGCAAAAATGGAAGCCAGGTTGTACTGCAATAATATGAATAAGTAAGTAAATATACCGACTTACAATGCTTAGCAAAACACACAACAACATAGCTACTTGAATACCCAAAATACTGTCTTATACAATTCTGTCAGTACATTGAATATTATGATATGATTTTCCTGCTATAGGGTCAAAAAATACCAAAATTTGAACGCAAGTTTGGTTTCATGGTCCGAAAATTTCCACTCCGACAACGCGTTTCCCTTCTTCCAAATTCAACCAAGAAAACAACTAAAATGAAAACACAAATGAACGATGGGAAAACAGCGAAGACCACAAAAAAGGTACAATAAAGAAATCATTCCAGACTTAAGATATTTTCATATTTATCGTATTATTTAATTTTATAAAGGTGTTAAAAAACTTTCTCAAGAAGAGGAAAGGTGAAGCACCCAAAGAGATTATAACAAATGTATGTTGAATATTATCATAATAATACGATAATTTATAACCAAGGAAAAAATATAAAGCAAATTCATTTCATATCTTTTAAATTATTTATATGTGCTTTGCTGTATTGCAATATTTAAAAAATTTGAATCTGAATTAATTTTGTGATTTACATAGACACAGCTTTAACTTTATTGTTTGCGTATATTAATCACAGTCCAAGAATAAAAAAGGAAAAGGCAAAGACGGTTTAATGAACTCGAAACCAGTCCCAGTTCCCAGCGAACCTAATCTTGCAACTTCTAATACCAATGAAGATGAGATCGGTTCACACATGGGCGATGTAGAAAAATCTTCGAGTTGCACGAAAATCATCAAGGTAGTGTAAAAAGACGAGTCCAGATATTAAATACTTAATCTTAAGGAGTAGTGTAGTGATTCGTTCCAATAATCTCATGGTAATGAAGATGGGTCGCCCGTTCTATATTGGGTTTGTTTCAATTATGCCTGTGCTAGCTCTAGTACCTAAATATGAGAAATTTGTGAATATGACTCTCATAAGAATATTAAAATATACTGACTGTATATGCATAGCAAATCACAAAAGAGCATAGTTTTCATTGACGTGAACAAGAAAATAAGCCATGTATTAAAAAATTAAAATATCCAAAACAGCATAGTGGCTATAGTACAATTCTATCAGTAAACTGAATCCATGTAATATATTATGATTTTCCTGCTATAGGTTCGAGAAATTCAGACAGATAAACAAAAGTCCCGTTTGATGGATAAAATCTCAACCAAAGCACATGCTTCACGACTTTCAACTTCGACTAAGAAGGAATCACAGATGGACGGTTTGAAGACAGTGAAGTCCACAAAAAAGGTAAAAACAATAACAATTTTTCAAGATATTTTCACTGTATCGCATTAACATTTATTAACATGAATATTTTGAATGAACTATAGGTTTCGCTAGAATAATTATTGGAATAAAATATAATTCTAGGTGAAAAATCGAACCGAATTCACAAAATCACAGAAGTCAAATGAAAAAATGGATTCCCGCAAAGAAGAAAAGAAATTGGGTTGGTTCATTCAGTCATTAGAAATTTTACAAGCCGAGAAAATATCGAATAAAATAATAAATGGATGAAACACTCGTTAATTAATATTTTTCGTTAGTCGTCTACTTACCAATATGCCCCCAGAATTCTGTCTATATAGTAACAATATAACATTACAATTGTCCATTATTTTTAGTATACCATAAACCAGACAAAGGAAAATCAAATTCTGGAATACCAGTTGGGCCATATAAAGGTATAACATAGGATATATTTATATTACAAGCATACCTCAAATTTGATATATTTATCATTTTGCTCAAGCAATATTTGTGGAAAAACAGTGACCTGTCCAAAAAAAGGCCAATGAAATTGTTTGATTGTTCAGGGCTTGAACTGAATTATTCAATATCACTATCATCGCTATTTTCAGTCACCTATCAGCTGTAAAAGGTCGAAATATTATTGCTCTTATTGTCTTCCAGAAAAAATCAACAATCGCCATCAAATGCCGAGACCGAATTACGGCAATCGGCGAAAAGTCAAAACTTCAACAAAACATGAGGATGAAGATGAAGAAGAAATAAGGGAGGAAATAGAAATTGGTAATTTAAGAAATTATCTTGGTAATTTCATGAAAACTTTTGAACTTTTCTATTTTTCATACCGTAGGTCTGCTTGAAAAATTCAAGCACTTTAGAATTAGACAATCTGAATCGCTTGATAAGTTGATTAAAATGGATGAAAACTAGATATTAATTTTATTTTCAGATTGTTCTACAAACGATGTAATTCTTCGACTTCGGAATTTTCCTTTTGCTCCGATTAGAAGAAATTCAATGAAGAACAAACAAGGAGCTATGGCCGAGGTATAGAAATGATTAGGATGTTTCTTATTTCCATTTTTTGAGATAGTTTCCAAAATCCCATATTATTTTTCAGAAAGAAGGAATGCACTCAAATGAGGAATGGTATTTTCGAAGAGGAAAAAATAAATGGGGTTGGTTCAAATATTCATTTCGTTTTCTTAATAATGAGGAAGAAAGACTTCAGGAAACTACTTTATGATATGAAATGATTGCACTTACATCTGATGCAGAAATATTATTACAACACTAGGAATAATATAACATAGAAGCAATAGAAGCTTATACTTGGTTATAATTTCAGCGCACCACGAGCCTGAGAAACAAAAGCCAAGTCCTGGAATGCCAGTTATTAAGCGATATAAAGGTATATACGTAATGTTTCCTGTTTAACAAGTATATTTTAATTAACCATACACATCCATTCTTATTAATATAGTAGCGTAATAAGTATAGTTACGTGACTGTAGCATAAATTAGAACTCTCATTTTATTTATTGTATTCAGACAAATTCAACAATCGCATGCAAATAACAGAACAGGACTACGGCAGTCGGGATGAAGCCATGATGCCAAAAGAGGACGAGGAAAATGAGGAAGATGAAGAAATAATGGAGGAAATAGAAATTGGTAATTTATGATGCTTTTATGAAACAATTTAAGAACTTTTCCTTGTGAGTTAGCTTTCCCCAAATTTAAATGCTGTACTTGAAATTACATTCAGAAAAACACATGATAAATTAATTTTAAACAAAAAAAGCTAAAAAAGCTCATTTCAATTTTAGACTGTTCCGCGAACGAGGAAAGCCCTCCACTTTGGGATTTTTCTCTTACTGCATTAGAAAAAACAAACCCAAAAACGCAAAAAGCTACGTTCGAGGTAAAGAATTTTTTGGGTATTTTTATTTTTACTTATTTGAGCCGGTACACCAGAAGATCATTGAAACTATAAAAAGTTCATTTGGTAAGAAGTTGGCTACTGGTTTTATTTTTTTATACCATACATATAAGATTAAGTTTGAGTTTCAAAGTTACTGTTATGATCATAAAAATATTTAAAATGTTTTATTGCGATTACTTACTTGTTGAGATTTAGTGAACGAATATATATCATATAAAATAATGTGGGATTGTGTAGATAGTTCTTTTCTAATTTTGGCTTCATTTTTAGCCATACGTGACAAAACTACCAAGATTAAACAGAAAATTGGATTTCTACAAAAGAAATTGGACAAACGGTTTGATTTTGTTTATGTCCTCTTGCAAACATGCCTATTCTTATACATATTTTCTTACAATTGGATGTTAGACGGAAAGGTTTTAATCGGTTACAGTAAAATGTAATACATTCGATAAAATGTCCACAGACCAACTTGTTAATTGTATAACTTTCAGTGATACGATTAACTCGTATGCTGCATGGAGAGATATTTTTATGTATATCCGTAGTTATTTAGTGTGGACGACCAAGTATATAAAACACTTCTTGTTAATTGTTACCCAGATTTGGTTTAGAATATTAATTTCTTCGTAATGGATAGTTAAACACAAATAAATATTTAAGATAATATTATTCAGGTCATTATGGAATAAGTTCCAACTTGGAGACGAGACTTGGCATGCCTGTCAAAAGACAGAAAGGTATGATGAGGCACATGTTATTCAATCCCATATATCAATTATGTACTTATTAATGATTCGCTCTATGAATGAAGTTAATACCGTTTAGTTATTTTAAGTAGATGCTCGCCTGTTTAAAACTCAGATAGGGGTTATGTTTGCTAAAATTTTATTTCAATGTTTATTTCAATGATAATTTATTATTTTTTGACGTTGTTTATAAAACTGATCGAATATAAATATTTTATTAGGAAAACCATTCGTCAATCGCATGGAATTTCTACCAAGACAAATCCCATACTTTGGCAACAAACGTAAGGCGGATAAGTTAAAGGAACAAAGTGAAGATGGTAATTACTATTCAAATTAATTTGAATGAAATTATTAGCCTAATGCACATTCGATTAAAAAGATAACTTTATTCCTATGTATTCTATAATCTATATCATATATATTATATTTCAAATATCTTCCACTATGGATGGTTATATTTCTGGATAAGTATTGAATTTCGTTTAGTACTACAGTTTTGTTGGATGCAGATATTGGATTTTGTGGTAAATATAGTGGAGATGGCTTGGCAGTAAAAACAAATATACGATGAAATAAGATGAACTCAAAAACCATTCTATTACTATTTAAAAAAACAAGTGAAACAAGTGTTAATATTTTCATGCAGGCGGATACAAATATAAACCACCATGGAACTTTTCGACAGACGTGAACGCAGACTAAATTTTTTTCTTGTATTTTATGTATTGAAAATAAAATTTTTCATAATTTTGAAGATTGCTTTTATATGTGAACTAAACACTCTTTTGGAGTTGTTTGGGATAGGTGTGAAATCATATGTACAATTACATTCCTCGATATTTTGTTCATTATGAGGCTTACCACCATACCAATCATTATTTGAAGTCTGAAAATCGTGGGGAGCACGAGGCCTCATAAGAGTGATGAGAAAAAAAGGATTCAGCACGTCATTCAGGACTATTTTTTTTTGGTGGTTTCTGACATACGCAATACCAGTGGCGTAGCCAGCCCAAATTTTTTTTGGGGGGGGGGGGGGCAAATTTGAAAATTTTAGAAATTATATTGGTTAAGACACCCCTTCTTCAAGCGCGAAACAACAACAGTTTATCAATAAGCAAACTGATTCAACAACTCAGCTGGCTTTTTGTGAATACAAAATTCATTTTATTAAACGACTTTTTATTGGAAACAACAAATATCAACAACGCAATTTAAATAAGTAAAATACATCGCCCCGATTAAAAGTCCATCCTTCGCTTCCCGCCAACTATGCTCGACACAACTCGATTAATTTTCTCCTCGGTGACGATTTCACGGTGACAGTAAAGCACACACAAATCAGAAACATCGAACGTAGGAAGGTGTTGTAAACCTTCTGTCAGAAGTGAATCCAAATTTGCTGAAAAAAAAATCTTTTTTTTCTATATCGCAATTCCTTGTACTTCTTAAATTCCCGAACTTGTACTTGTACTCAAATCTTCGGTTTAAATAAATGATATATACAGATTATTTATTTATTTTTTTCAAAACTGACCAGTTGTGAGTATTCTAACGAGACTTATACAGCTAATTAAATTGTTTAATATTCATCCGCAATGGTATGGTAGAAATGCCAAATGTTACTAAGCCTTGAATTCGAATGAGGGTTCGTCCGTTTTGTATTGTCTCTTTGTTTGTTTCGGATATATACTAGGACTATTTATATCGGGCAATACTCTATGCTTTAGGGCTTAGGCAATGAGACAACTAACTTCTATGTTCTAATGTGCGGATGCAAATGATCATGAATAGATCTCAGTGATCGTACTAAAAAAGTTCTGCGGTATACTGTAATAACCAAATCAACGCACCATTAACAAAATATCGAAATACATCGCTTGTGACGTCATAAAGACATATGAAATTATAATTACACTAAATTCGCATAAAATCAGGCCATTTTAAAATACATAATTGTATGAGAGGCGCTGTATTTCAAACTCATTCAACCATGGGGTAGAAATAATGAAATTGAGAAAAAAGGTGGACGTCGGAAAAGACCTTTCACGAGAAGAAGAAACTTCGAGTGAAAAAGTTTCTAACAAAAGGAGAGCCAAGCCTAAAATTAACAAAAAGAAGGTGAGGAGATGATCTGCTAAATTCTAATATTTGCTGATTTCTAGCAAAATAGTGTTACTAATGAAATCGAACTGGAGTATATAAAGTAATTGTGAACGATAAAACGAAGTTAAAATCGAGATGTTTTGGTCTCTAGAATATTCAAAATAACTAAGAACATTTTTAAATGTACTTATGTGACTATTTTAAAAACTTGGGCGAAATGTAGCAACCAAACATTGAACTTTCGATTAGAAAATGCACATGACCCGAATGACGCTGCTTGATTCAGAATGATCGTTACCTTGTCTTCTTTAGTCGTATGAAAACGTTCCTCAAACTTAGGTGTCCAATGCATGTTTCGCCGACCCCTGGACTCACCAAGAATTCTGCCCAGCTAACAATCACATAAATTTGTAGGCACAATAAAGGGCACGTAGCAATGAGAAACTGTATGCTCGGGAAAACATTGACTTCTTTAGAAGTTGCGATAGTCTCTAAATATATATATAGATCATTGCGTTCTATTGCGGTAACGAGAATATTTGCACTTAATAACAAACACATCGATGAATCCCTTATCTCGTACACAATAGAATCTATATTAAAATATTGGTGCTCTTGAAGTATGCGCACCAAAGTGTCGCATAACCTGAACCCTGACCTGTTACACAACCTGAGTTCAGGTTGTGCGCCATCTTGGTGCGCATATTTCAAGAGGCCCAAAATCTTTCTGGATAACTGTATCTTCATAATTTCGTCATATTTTCCAATAAAAAAATATTAGTGTTGACTAACCTTAGTCTGTTATAGTCGATAGTTTTCAATCCGACCCTAAATTTTGGGATTTTCAAATTTCAAATCTGAAATTATCCCGTCCACTATAAAAGATATATTAAAATCTCTTCCGATAACTGTACCTCCACGATTTTTTAATATTTTCAAAAAATAATGTTAGTGTTGACTGACCTTAGTTATTGTCGGTAGTTTTTAATCTAATTCCTAATTTTAGAGTGTACAAAATTCAAAATACAAAGTCGCCAGCTATTGATAATTTGAATTACACTCTTAACAAAGTATTGACGGCATGTCCGTTAATTTTGTGATTTTTCAACTCTTATTGATTCGCAGTACCGGTATTCTTCTAACAACCAAACTTGGTGGAGGTGCTCTGTCCATTTGAAACCCTGAACAGCTGGATGTTCGTTAAGTCTATGACCTCATAACGGCGGGTGACGTCATAACGGAGGAATTTGATGGCTCATAGTACGGTACCTGATTGAGAACTTCGCAGTTCGCACGTTCCCTAATTTGACAGTGGGCGAATAATTTAGCGAGGTTTGCTAGTAAAATGGAGGCAAACAAACAACAAAGTATAATCCAGTTCTTTCGAAAGAAACCCAGCGGTGAAAACCAAGTTAGTGATGTTGACAGGATAGAGGAAGGGACTGCTACTTCAACTTAACAACATGTCCCGAAACGACCTTGCAGCAATGTTGATATGAATCACGAAGAAACAAGCAAAAAACGAAATGAAGACCTTATTAGGCAGCATGATAAGAATATTTTGGAGCTAGGTTTCACTATTGCTCCCAGCAGCGAAAAAGTACCGCTTCCCATGTGCCTAGACTGCGCCAGAATTCTTTCAAACGACGCAATGAAACCCGCAAAGCTAACCAAATCATGTGGAAGTCAACGTTCTACTTCGCCTTGCAGAAACTTCATTAGAACCGTGTTTGACACGTGTAATATCTAAAAGACAGCTGTGAATTTCTCAATAAATTGGATGGTTTTCTTTTGCATCAGTCCGCGAACCGAAAAAGGTTGAGAACAACTGATCTAATGTTCATCCGTGAATCAAGTCTGTAGCTGAGATTTGTTTATTTGCATGATTGAGAAAGCCCGCAATAGGAAAATCCAGTGCGAAAGTATGCGAGCATTTCGGTGTTAGTATTGAAAAGCGAATGGTATCCTACAAATTACTTTGAAAACAGAAAAGTTCATAGGGGTTAACAAAATGTTGTCAAATCAGACATTAAGACTATTTGTTAATTACTGTTTCTGATAGAACAAGGAGCTAGGTATGTGTCGATTAATAAAATGATCACGATTCAAACGCGATTTGTGCTAAATATAAAAAAAAATCACGTTTCACCCACCTAACGCCTTGCTACTGTAGTGTGAATAAACATGATGATTTATGATTTAATATAAATGCCAGAATGATTTTTTTACTAAACCGTTCACGAACCACGTTCGAACTTCGAGGTGCCACATTGGGCATGCGTGCCTTGTGTAGTGCACTTCTGTTCTAGACACATAAACAACTTCAAATGATAATTATACGAATACCCCTTAGAATCGCTGAATATTGTTTGTTTTGCAGGATTCAAAGACTCCGGGGGTTCGGGACCTTCGCCCACATCCTTAAACTGCTTCCTTGCAGGATTGTTATGGATCCTGAAATTTTTCGACTGGCAAAAAAGAACAAGGTAAAAAATATATGTTATATAATTTCTATATACATATATGACTACGTCATTTACTCAATAATGCCAATAGGGACGGGCTTGTCGGTAAGTTTCACGCTATTTATTTGCAACCAGCCGATAAATTTTCGGTTGAAGATGATAAATTTTACCATTTGCCTACTCTCAGTTTAGGCATGGATTTGCGTGGTTGTTATAAAACTGCTGGTCCTAAATTTGAGCAAGCTTGTAACAATTACTAGAGGTGCAGGTTATTGTGTATTGAACTGACTCTCCTTCCTAAATCTTTACTCTTTATTGTACTTCCGAAAATACCCTTCATCCTAATGATCAAACCTACTTCTGTCTTACTTCACGTTTAATTCTGTAGGCGCAATTGATACTTGTCGTACGTCATTTCTGCGCGCCCATTAACTAACGCCCCATCCCTTAAGTCACGAACTCGAGTAAACCTTTCTCCAAGACAATCTAAGCATTAATTTCATGTTAGACATGTTTTTATGGATTCCGAGTAGCCTAGCTGTAATCTTCACGTACGGGGGCTTGAGATCTCCTATGCCTCATGAAAGAATGTGCCCATTCAACCAAGAAACAATGGTCAAAAGCAAAACGGCCACTAGTCCGTTTGTCTTTTTGTGCTCGTTCCTGTTTTTTCACTAGTTTGGAACCAAACTCTATATCCATAAGCCTAACTTTTTCTTTTTATCTGCGGATTCATAGTGGGGGGACACATGTCACAATTATACTTTCCTGTCCAACAATCTCGTTAGGATGAAACTAAATATGATCTCAACACAAATAGAATGATCGTATTGGAAAAACAAAATATAGATATGATTCTCGACAGATCGATTAGACGCAAGCAGTTGTTGTTTGCGTGGAGTCTCATTGCGATTACCGCACCTGGATGCCACTAGGACTAGACTGTATGTCAAAAGCGTGGCCCTTTGAGAGCCGGGAAAATGCTGCATTGTGTGTGAGCTTTGATCTGCTGTCTTGGCTTCCAAAACGCTGTTTATGCAAATATAGAATGATGCTATAGTAGGGTATAGGCTGATCGTAGGGACCAAGATTGCTGCTAATACTGTTGTGTTCAGACTCTGTCACCTTAAATCTTCATCATACAATTAAACGAATGCTTTGATATTTAGGTTCCAGGCCAAGAAAATGAAACTGGATCTGATTACCACCCTTGTTTGGAGAGTGCAGTCACCAAGTCGATGGGCGAAAACCAACAGCCTCATCCGTCTGCAGGCACAGTTACAACTTTGAATGAGACTGTTACTTCCGGCACTGTCTCACAGGTAACATATTATATGTCGAATGATATATAATAGCTGCAAGAAAGCAAAATATTTGAAAAACAAACAACAAAATATTTGTATACGGTACCTACAGTTTCATTTTTTTTTTTGAAAATCGTTTCAGTTGTCTCGAATGATCACTTGAATCAAAAAGAGCTCACATCTTTAACACGTCAGTAGTTTATTACTCTCTCCCATTTTAGGTCATCAAAAAACTGGTAAATGCCACTCTCTATATATACTCTAACGATATCTAAGCAAGTATAACTAGCCTTTTTCTTTGTCCATAACTCGACACAATAGTTCTACATAAAATTTTTACCTTGTTAGATGCCAAAAGAAGCAAATCATGACGAATATAGTTCTTTGGAAAGTCTGCCGTGCGCTGATTCACAATCTTTTGAGGCCTGCGCCTTCGATGCCGAATTAAAAGAACTTATTGCCAAAATGAATTATCGCCAAATATCATTTCACACTTGGGCATCGTATCCAAATCTATGCCAAGGAGTTATGGAACTGCACATCGCGGAATCGTCATATTTCAAAGTATCCGTCTCCTGTCCGAATCTGAAATATGTATTCGGTACATTGGATGGCATAATGAAATCGCGTTTGCATGTTTCTGCGTCGTGCTCAGATCTGTTGAATCAAAAGGTGGAATCGGAAATTTTGCAGTTGACTGGACGATCACTTTCCGCTTCATGCCCGAATTTGATTCGCCTAGAGACGGAAAGGAAAATACCATCACAGCTGCCATTTTTGCCTGATTTATGCGGTTTCAGCAGTCACAAGGACAATGTTGATACCCCAATGCTCGCGCCTAATAATATCGACGCAAATACACCTGCTCTCCAGTCCGCCACAAGAATTGTAACGAGTCAGTTAGTTCTTGATGGAGAATTTGGGAAAACAACATCGAAACACGTCTCCGTACTTAGATCGAGTTCATCTGTAATGATCGCCGCAAAGTCTTGTTTGAAGATGTCTGTTTCATTACCTAATTTATTTCACCAATGTGAAGTACTGGTGAAAATGGAATCGCGTTTGTACATTTCTGTATCCTGTCCAGACTTGAGAAAGCAATCTAATGAAATTGCAATATCAAAATTATCTGCTTCTCCGATTTCTCGTTTCCAAACAACCAACAGAATCATTTAGACTTTGAAATGTCAATGCCAGCAAGACATTCATCTCCACGAATGATCGATTTCAAAGAGGGAGAATCCCAGAACATGGAACATTGCCGTACAGCACCGGATCTTGATGTAACAGGTGGACAACCGCGCGAATCAAAGTCGCCATTATCGCATGCTCTTGTTGAAAAAATTGATGAAAACCAACTTATCCCCGGAAAGGAAGACACAAATTTTCTCCTTGATCAAGCATCGATTTTGTCTGAATCAAGTCTGGTAATTGAGAAAAAAGAATTACAAGTCCGCGAATTCGCATTTCGTACTAGTGTGTCGTATACAAATTTACTTCAAGCAGGAGTGCAAATAAATAGTGGGAAATTAATACATCCGAGATCTACATCCTCCAGCCCTGATCTATTTTACCTGAGTCCGAGTTCAATTGATAGAGAATTCTCACAATTGCATATTTCTGCTTGTTTGTTAGATTTGATCAGGCGATTGAAATTGCCACAACATTTGAACCAGCCACCCGCTACAAGTTCGGTTTTATCCGATTCAGGCGAACAAACCCAATATCTTGATTTAATACACGCCGAATCGAGGGCAACAAAAGAAGATCCGATTATTGCTATTCCGAAACTAGACTTGAGCAAAGTATATGAGGGAGAAGGAGATAAAACATCTTCTTCTCACGATCCAGTTACTGGGCCATGTACAGTCGTTACCCATTTTCGGAACAGAATCTGTGAACATACCATCATCTCTTCCAAATTTATCTCAGATTCCTGAGATAGCAAAGAACGAGGAATTACAAATAAAATCTTCTCTTCCCTACTTGCTCCATGCTGAAGAAATTAGCGGACAACAACCGACATGTAAACGTAGTGCGTCATGGCCACAGCTAGATCCGGTCAAATCAGTTAGAAATCTCTGTGTTCCAAAACTTGACTTGAGTCTGCTAGACTCGGAAGAAGAACCTGTCATCAGAGGAAGGATAACAATGGCAGGGATACGTAGTTCGTCGTCATGGCCACAGCTACATCCGGTCAAATCAGTTAGAAACCTTTGTGTTCCGAAACTCGACCTGAGTCAGCTAGACTCAGAAGAAGAACCTCCCATCAGATCAAGAATGGCAATGACATTTACCAGGAAACCTGCAAATAAATATATTCAAATTCTACGTTCAGCTAATTCTCTCCCCGACATTCCTCGTGGTGCAGCTGAAGTGAAAATATTGAAAAAATCACAGCTCAAAAAATACCCTTCTTCGCCAAATTTAAAGGCATTAGTACCTCAAAGATTTACTGGACCATCAAATCCTTTTGACGTGCATGTACCTCATTCCTTCCAACAAAGACCTAAGAGCGCAGGTTCTTCATCTGTACCTGGTTATATACATGAGCCATCTAAAATGCACTCAAAAACAATACATTTTCCCGTTTCGATTGGCGATTACCAAATGACAAAACCACGAAATGAAAATGAAAACTTCCAATGTAGGCCCTCATGGGCGTACGGCAAATATCCACGTGAATTTAAACCGGAATTAGCAATTTTTTCTAATCTTGGTATCAACGATAAAGAACAAGTGAACTCATCGGAAGACGAGTCTTCTGAATTTAATACGGAACCGGAATATTATCCATACCGTCAAACACTTTCACCCATCCTGGAGGAATCGGAAGAAGATATGCAAAACATACCACCTACACCAACACCCGGTTCCTTTCCAATTCAAGTAAAGAGTGTAAATGAAATAGTTGCATCAGATTTAGCTACTAAAATTTCTGCAATTATTGCTCACTCAGTAACTTCAATCTGTTACAAATCAAATTCGGTGGGATCTTGCATGGACGAGGTGGAAAGAATGCCGGAGTCAACAAAAATCAATAAGGTATTATTATTGCTACTTATTATCAACGAGACCAAATAGTAGTACAAATATTATCATCCTGACTTACGCGTAAGTTTATCCTGATAATACTGCTTGTGATATTGATAAAATTGCTCCCGCGTGAACATAAACGTGAATCCTTACCAACTTGTTCCATTGTTCACACCATATATGTAAAAAGGAGGCAAAATACACAACATCAAATAATGTTGCTTTCGTTATCATCACGAAAATTAAACATATGACATTTACTTCAGACTATATCTGGCACTTCTGTCGAAAGTGCTGCTGAAGATATTTCAACGTCTCCGAGCCATACACCAGTAGTGGACAGGACGACTTTGTCAGATGAACAACATCTTGATGTAGGAGATGTGCAAACAAAGGTTACTTTCTTTAATATGCAAAAAATATTTTGCTTAATTTGGCCTTGTGAAAAGATTTAAACATTCATGATTATGAGTCAATTTATCATGGCTTCGGAATCTTGACGCAATGAAATTGTGGAGTAGTATGGTTAGCGAAGTGTTCCATGAAATATTAGATTACATGACACAGTCTCAAATATTTGAAATGTCCCCACACATAGGTAGAGAATTTTATTCTACGTGAAAGTGTCGCTTTTAAATAATGTGAAATCCCCACTGAAGTAAGGAACTTTGTAATGTCGAGTTCCCAAAATATATGGTAATGAACAAGATAGCAAAAATACAGTATGGGATACATGTGGAACTCCTACTCGCCCTGCCATTATCGTGAACTTATTTACAGCATCTTACACCATTTCACCCGTTACATCTTTACGTTATAGGCGGCAACCACTTCCATCAAATGTTACCGAAAAAAAGTTGACATCTTCAATCCATTCACCGGAAAACGTTGCAATAACTAATGAATTGACAAAAAAGAAAAAACATGGTCGGGAAGACGAAGTTCAATCTAAAAAGACCGAAATCTCATTTGGGGTGAATGTTTTGCCTAAACTTACTTGTCCTAAGCTTGATAAAATAACATTTTCGTGGCAAATGATTTTTATAACCCATAAAAGTTGACGTTGAACAAAATTAGTGATACATATACAGACAGTATTTATTATTCGAGTATATTAATTACAGTTCAATTATATATCATTATTCTTATAATATAGGATCAAGAAAAACACACAAATGACAAAGACCAATCGATGACTTTGAAGCCAATCACAGCATGCGAACCAGATCACGTAATTAAAATTACGAAAGCAGTTGAGATGGGTTCACACGTGGGCGATGTGGAAGCATCACGGAATTCCACGAAAATCATCAAGGTATTATAAAAAGATGAGTTTCAATTTCTACTTAATTTCATTTTAAGAGTGGCGAATCTTTCCATTATTTTCATTCGAATTAAAAGAGTCGTATAGCTTTGTTTAAGTTTCAATTTTTTTGTACGTGATAAATTTTTGCCATTAAATTTGCACCGCATACGAAAGAAAGATTTGCAGAATTGCGATACGGACTGCAATCAATCAATCAATCATCATTTATTCGTCAACACAATCAATATAAATATATCACGGAAATATGGCAAGATATACAATAAGTAAAAAAGAACTTCATATGTGTGACAGGAGTCGCGAGGGACCACGATGCAGAGATTATTATCACGCTACTTGTATCGCAAACATAGGATACAACATATCTGATATATTTTTATAGACTGCATCTATTACTATTGACGGCACCATGGAGGAAAACCCTACATTTCCAAATCAAATGCCAGTAGTAGATGACAAAAAAAAGAAGTCCGCCGAAAAAGGGGACGGAAACGGAGACTTTGATCGGACAGGAAAAATCCAGGTAGGTAATAGAAGTAAATTATTTTGACTGTAACAAATTAACCAATAATTTTGGAAATAATGACATCAAGGCTAAAAATAATTCCGAAGTCATAAATATTGGAGAATATTCAAGAACATTCCAATATGATATTTCAACAAAACATGCGAAATAGCGAATAATTTCCCGTGTGATATGTCGAATGACCTTGTTTTACATGAACAATCTGTGTAAGAACGGTCTCGAATAATCGAGAAAATTGTTGTACCCCTTTAAATGCGATCTCGAACATAGAAGAGATCGTCATCATTATCGTCAAATATTAATAATCTGATGATCTCTACTGTTAAGAATAATAACTTGAAATTGTAAGTTGGTTTATTTGATTTAATTTATTGTAATATATTTTCGAAGGAAATAAAATCTATACAGGCAATTGTCTAGATCCTTGCTGTTATATCAAATTAACAGACATCTCGACTTGAATAAGTAACCTATTATATTATTCTGTTTGGAGTCAGATTAATATCTAATAGTTAGCAAACAACAAAGAAGTTTCATGACTAATTTACTTCACCAAAAAAGGAGATGATCTCTGTTTTATTTACGTACCTAGCAGAAAGTGTAGCCTTAATTACCTATTATTTGAAAGTTTTATCTACTTACTCAGTTGATGAGAAATAGGGTTTACTAAACAAGTAATACAACATGAATTTTACGAAAAAGGAACAACATATTCAGGAGAAAAATGAGGACGAGATGAGTGTAATCGATCCTATTCCGTTTCAAGAACTCGATTCTCATCTACCACGATCAAACAAAAGTTTCATTGAGAAGGCAACTCAGACGAGCGATCTAGAGGCAGAGAAGTTTTCTTCGAAATTCACAAAGGTATTACACATTTTGATTCCAGATACCAGTTATTTTACTATTTTTATTCAATATTTTCAAGTAAATTATATCGTTTTCAGAAGCAAAAAAAGAAGGTTGAAGTGTCGAAAGGAATTACAGAATCAGTATGTTGAATTTTTCCCAATATCATTCTATTCCATAATACTGTAAATTTAAACTTCGTACCGACGTATAATGTAGAGTCGAGGTAAACATATCTATAATAAAATAGGTAATATATACTGGCTATAAATGCAAAGCAAAAAACTGATCAATGATAGTGCTATCGATATGTGCAGTCACATTAGTACAAGTATTACAACATCATTTCCTTACTATAGATCAAAAAGTTCAGAAAAAAGTACGCGCTGCACTTCTTACGACATCGAGCAAAAGTTCGACAAAGTTTGAATCGAAGAAGGACAATGTAAAAACAACGAAGTCCACAAAAAAGGTAACATAAAAATGATACTTTTGAAATTACGATATTTATTGTATTTAATATTATATTTCACAAGTAGATCATATCATTTTTCAGAAGAAAATTAAAAATAAAGCATCCAAAGAAAATATAAAAACTGTATGTTGAAAATTATTATAATTAAATTGGAATCTAATAATATTATACTCCATATTATGGTGGGATAATGTGAATTTCAAAACAATTATTATGGCAATTAAAAAAGATGAGTCTAGATTTCACCCCCAAGAAAAAATAAAATAACATTGATTTTATGAGCATGGATGGATGACAACAGATAGTGATGTAGCAAAATTGTAAACTGTTCTTCTGAAGTATAATGATCGGAGAGGAATAATAATTTTCAGAGTGCCCTGTATAACTATATTAAAACAAATATGACAGCAACACAAATATTGAAGAGTGGCTTTTACTATTATTCCAAAACCAAGTTTTAAATGAGATTTTTCATTTGATCGACAGATCATATTCCATAGATGTATGCAGTAATGATTGAATTTATTAACCACAGTACAAGTATTAAGATATGGATTTCATATTATAGGATCAAGAACCTCGGAAGAAAAGTGATGGCAAGATGCGTGCAATAAATTCTATTCCGCGCAAAATACTCAAAACAAATCTTCCAGCATCGCACAAAAGTTTAACTAACAAGGAATCGCAAATGAACGATATGGGGGCAGCGAAGTCAAAAGTAATACAAAATGATGATTCCACATACTAGAAGTTTTCCGTATTTATTATTTAATGCTTTTAAGTAAATCATATTGTTTTTAGAAGCAAGTGAAGGGGAAGAAAGATAAAGTACCGAAAGGAAATATAAAATCAGTATGATATATATTATTATTATAATAGTATTTTACTTTACAATACTGGAACCCATCACATAGGTAAAATAAAATAAAATAGGTACAGTAAACACATACGGCAAAAATGGAAGCCAGGTTGTACTGCAATAATATGAATAAGTAAGTAAATATACCGACTTACAATGCTTAGCAAAACACACAACAACATAGCTACTTGAATACCCAAAATACTGTCTTATACAATTCTGTCAGTACATTGAATATTATGATATGATTTTCCTGCTATAGGGTCAAAAAATACCAAATTTGAACGCAAGTTTGGTTTCATGGTCCGAAAATTTCCACTCCGACAACGCGTTTCCCTTCTTCCAAATTCAACCAAGAAAACAACTAAAATGAAAACACAAATGAACGATGTGAAAACAGCGAAGACCACAAAAAAGGTACAATAAAGAAATCATTCCAGACTTAAGATATTTTGCATATTTATCGTATTATTTAATTTTATAAAGGTGTTAAAAAACTTTCTCAAGAAGAGGAAAGGTGAAGCACCCAAAGAGATTATAACAAATGTATGTTGAATATTATCATAATAATACAATAATTTATAACCAAGGAAAAACTATAAAGCAAATTCATTTCATATCTTTTAAATTATTTATATGTGCTTTGCTGTATTGCAATATTTAAAAAAATTTGAATCTGAATTAATTTTGTGATTTACATAGACACAGCTTTAGCTTTATTGTTTGCGTATATTAACCACAGTCCAAGAATAAAAAAGGAAAAGGCAAAGACGGTTTAATGAACTCGAAACCAGTCCCAGTTCCCAGCGAACCTAATCTTGCAACTTCTAATACCAATGAAGATGAGATCGGTTCACACATGGGCGATGTAGAAAAATCTTCGAGTTGCATGAAAATCATCAAGGTAGTATAAAAAGATGAGTCCAGATATTGAATACTTAATTTTATAGAGTAGTGATTTGTTCCAATAATCTCATGGTAATGACGAGGGGTCGTCCGTTCTACATTGGTCTTTGTTTCAATTATCTCAGTGTTAGCTCTAGTACCTAAATATGATAACTTTGTGAATACGACTCTCATAAGAATATTAAAATATACTGACTGTCTATGCATAGCAAATCACAAAAGAGCATAGCTTTCATTGACGTGAACAAGAAAATAAACCATGTATTAAAAAATTAAAATATCCAAAACAGCATAGTGGCTAGTACAATTCTATCAGTGAACTGAATCCATGTAATATATTATGATTATCCTGCTATAGGTTCGAGAAGTTCAGACAGTTAAACAAAAGTCCCGTTCGATGGATAAAATCTCAACCAAAGCACATGATTCACGACTTTCAACTTCGACTAAAAGGAATCACAGATGGACGGTTGAAGACAGTGAAGTCCACAAAAAAGGTAAAAAACAAATAACAATTTTTCAAATATTTTCACTATCGCATTAACATTTATTAACATGAATATTTTAATGAAACTATAGGTTTCGCTAGAATAATTATTGAATAAAATAATTCTAGGTGAAAAATCGAACCGAACTCACAAAATCACAGAAGTCAAATGAAAAAATGGATTCCCGCAAAGAAGAAAAGAAATTGGGTTGGTTCAAATCTCGAATAAAATAAAAAATATACGAAACATTCGTTAATTATTATTTTTCGTTAGTCGTCTACTTACCAATATGCCCCCAGAATTCTTTCTATATAGTAACAATATAACATTACAATTGTCTATTATTTTTAGTATACCATAAACCAGACAAAGGAAAATCAAATTCTGGAATACCAGTTGGGCGATATAAAGGTATAACATAAGATATAATTATATTACAAGCATACCTCAAATTTGATATATTTATCATTTTGCTTAAGCAATATTTATGAAAAAACAGTAACCTGTCCAAAAAAAGGCCAATGAAATTGTTTGATTGTTCAGGGCTTGAACTGAATTATTCAATATCACTATCATCGCTATTTTCAGTCACCTATCAGCTGTGAAAGATCGAAATATTATTGCTCTTATTGTCTTCCAGAAAAAATCAACAATCGCCTTCAAATGCCGAAACCGAATTACGGCAGTCGGCGAAAAGAAATCAAAACCTCAACAAAACACGAGGATGAAGACGAAGAAGAAATAAGGGAGGAAATAGAAATTGGTAATTTGAGAAAATATCTTGGTAATTTCATGAAAACTTTTTTATTTTTCATACCGTAGGTTTGCTTGAAAAATTCAAGCTCTTTAGAATTAGACAATCTGAATCGCTTGATAAGTTGATTAAAATGAATGAAAACTAGATATTAATTTTATTTTCAGACTGTTCTACAAACGATGTAATTCTTCGACTTCGGAATTTTCCTTTTGCTCCGATTAGAAGAAATTCAATGAAGAACAAACAAGGAGCTATGGCCGAGGTATAGAAATGATTAGGATTTTTTATTTCCATTTTTTGAGATAGTTTCCAAAATCCCATATTATTTTCAGAAAAAGGAATGCACTCAAATGAGGAATGGTATTTTCGAAGAGGAAAAAATAAATGGGGTTGGTTTAAATATTCATTTCGTTTTCTTAATAATGAGGAAGTTTGAAGACTTCAGGAAACTACTTTATGATATGAAATGATTGCACTTACATCTGATGCAGAAATATTATTACAACACTAGGAATAATATAACATAGAAGCAATAGAAGCTTATACTTGGTTATAATTTCAGCGCACCACGAGCCTGAGAAACAAAAGCCAAGTCCTGGAATGCCAGTTATTAAGCGATATAAAGGTATATACGTAATGTTTCCTGTATAACAAGTATATTTTAATTAACCATACACATTTATTCTTATTAATATAGTAGCGTAATAAGTATAGTTACGTGACTGTAGCATAAATTAGAACTCTCATTTTATTTATTGTATTCAGACAAATTCAACAATCGCATGCAAATAACAGAACAGGACTACGGCAGTCGGGATGAAGCCATGATGCCAAAAGAGACGAGGAAAATGAGGAAGATGAAGAAATAATGGAGGAAATAGAAATTGGTAATTTATGATGCTTTTATGAAACAATTTAAGAACTTTTCCTTGTGAGTTAGCTTTTCAAATTTAAATACTGTACTTAAAATTACATTCAGAAAAACACATGATAAATTAATTTTAAACGAAAAAAGCTAAAAAAGCTCATTTTAATTTTAGACTGTTCCGCGAACGAGGAAAGCCCTCCACTTTGGGATTTTTCTCTTACTGCATTAGAAAAAACAAAACCAAAAAGGCAAAAAGCTACGTTCGAGGTAAAGAAGTTTTTGGGTATTTTTATTTTTACTTATTTGAGCCGGTACACCAGAAGATCATTGAAACTATAAAAAGTTCATTTGGTAAGAAGTTGGCTACTGGTTTTATTTTTTATACTATACATATAAGATTAAGTTTGAGTTTCAAAGTTACTGTTATGAACATAAAAATATTTAAATGTTTATATGCGATTACTTACTTGTTGCGATTAGTGAACGAATATATGTCATAAAAATAATGTGGCTTGTGTAGATAGTTCTTTTCTAATTTTGGCTTCATTTTTAGCCATACGTGACAAAACTACCAAGATTAAACAGAAAATTGGATTTCTACAAAAGAAATTGGACAAACGGTTTGATTTTGTTTATGTCCTCTTGCAAACATGCCAATTGTTATACATATTTTCTTACAATTGGATGTTAGACGGAAAGGTTTTAATCGGCTACAGTAAAATGTAATACATACGATAAAATGTCCACAGACCAACTTGTTAATTGTATTTCAGTGATACGATTAATTCGTATGATGCATGGAGAGCTTTTTTTTTATGTATATCAGTAGTTATTTAGTGTGGACGACCAAGTATATAAAACACTTCTTGTTAATTGTTACCCAGATTTGGTTTAGATTATTAATTTCTTCGTAATGGATAGTTAAACACAAATAAATATTTAAGATAATATTATTCAGGTCATTATGGAATAAGTTCCAACTTGGAGACGAGACTTGGCATGCCTGTCAAAAGACAGAAAGGTATGATGAAGCACATGTTATTCAATCCCATATATCAATTATGTACTTATTAATGATTTGCTCTATAAATGAAATTAATACCGTTTAGTTATTTTAAGTAGATGCTCGCCTGTTTAAAACTCAGATAGGGGTTTTGTTCGCTAAAATTTCATTTCAATGTTTCTTTCAATGATAATTTTATTATTTTTTGACGTTGTTTATGAAAACTGATCAATTATAAATATTTTATTAGGAAAACCATTCGTCAATCGCATGGAATTTCTACCAAGACAAATCCCATACTTTGGCAACAAACGTAAGGCGGATAAGTTAAAGGAACAAAGTGAAGATGGTAATTACTATTCAAATTAAAATTTAATAGAATTATTAGCCTGATGCACATTCGATTTAAAAGATACCTTTATTCCTATGTATTCTATATCATATATCATATTTTAAATATCTTCCACTATGGTTGGTTATATTTCTGGATAAGTATTGAATTTCGTTTAGTACTACAGTTTTGGTTGGATGCAGATGTTGGATTTTGTGGTAAATATAGTGGAGATGGCTTGGCAGTAAAAACAAATATATGATGAAATGAGATGAACTCAAAAACCAATTTATTACTATTTAAAAAAACAAGTGAAACAAGTGTTGATATTTTCATGCAGGCGGATACAAATATAAACCACCATGGAACTTTTCGACAGACGTGAACGTAGACTAAATTTTTTTCTTGTATTTTATGTATTGAAAATAAATTTTTTCATAATTTTGAAGATTGCTTTTATATGTGGACTGAACACTCTTTTGGATTTGTTTGGGATAGGTGTGAAATCATATGTACAATTACATTCCTCGACATTTTGTTCATTATGAGCTTACCACCATACCAATCATTATTTGAAGTCTGAAATTCGTGGGGAGCACGAGGCCTGATAAGGGTGATGAGAAAAAAAGGATTCAGCACGTCATTCAGGACTATTATTGTTTTTTTTGGTGGTTTCTGACATACGCAATACCAGTGGCGTAGCCAGCCCAAAATTGGGGGGGGGGAGAGGGCAAATTTGAAAATTTCAGAAATTATATTGGGTTTAAGACACCCTTTCTTCAAGCGCGAATATAACAACAGTTTATCAATAAGCAAACTGATTCAACAACTCAGCTGGCTTTTTGTGAATACAAAATCCATTTTAATAAACAACTTTTTATTTGAAACAACAAATATTAACAACGTAATTTGAATAAGTAAAATACATCGCCCCGATTAAAAGTCCATCCTTCGCTTCCCGCCAACTATGCTCGACACAACTCGATTAAGTTTCTCCTCGGTGACGATTTCACGGTGACAGTGAAGCACACACAAATCAGAAACATCGAACGAAGGAAGGTGTTGTAAACCTTCTGTCAGAAGTGAATCCAAATTTGCTGAAAAAAAAATCTTTTTTTTTTCATATCGCAATCCCTTGTACTTCTTAAATCCCGAACTTGTACTTCTCAAATCTTCGGTTTAAATAAATGATACAGATTATTTATTTATTTTTTTCAAAACTGACGAGTTGTGAGTATTCTAACGAGTCTTATACAGCTAATTAATTTGTTTAATATTCATCCGCAATGGTATGGTAGAAATGCCAAATGTTACTAAGCCTTGAATTCAAATGAGGGTTCGTCCGTTTTGTATTGTCTCTTTGTTTGTTTCGGATATATACTAAACTGTTTATATCGGGCAATACTCTATGCTTTAGGGCTTAGGCAATGAGACAACTAACTTCTATGTTCTAATGTGCGGATACGGATGATCATAAATAGACTTCAGTGATCGTACCAAAAATGTTCTGCGGTATACTGTAATACAGTGGCCGCGCGTCAATAGGGCCAACCGGGACAATGCCCCGGTTGTTTTTTTCGGTAGTAATAAAAAATATTCGAAAAATACCTGATATCGGCTTTGCACAGACTGTCCTACAACTGGCCCTGGATTCTCCGACAATGGTCATTTTCGCTCCGCAAAGCTTCGCCCGAAACGTCGACGGGGGCGAAGCCGATTTTGCCCGCGGTTGCTCATTGTATACTCGTATTCTCTCTTTATCTTTCCACTCGCCGCGTTTGTTTTCTGTTTCTTTTACTAAATCATCGGGGCCGATCGGGCTAGCCCCGAAATTATGACGACACAATGCCGACGTTTCTTACAACAACGTGTTGACATATTCACGCATTCCTTCTCGTTCGTTGGTTGCTTGAAGAGTTGATAGTTTCCTCGCCTTCGTTTTTGTCGCTTGTTTCGCTATTTGAATCAGTTAGAGACCTTTAGTCCATTTGCTTTCGATTTTCCACATTCCTTTTGAGCTCCTCACTTCTTTCCGGCTTCGCATTTCTTAGCCTTAGACCTCATAATGAATAAGGTTGATGCACTACTTCGCACTCCGTTTTCGCAGCTGCCGCTGGAACAAAAATTAAAATTGTTCACTGGAACAATCCCATGACGGAGGAAAGCGTCGGCGTACATTCTGCGCAGAAACTTGGTATAAAAAACACGAATGGTTGTGTTACAGCGAGGACAAAAATGCACTTTTTTGTTTTTATTGCCTACTTTTTGCTACCGCCCGTGACTCACGTTGGTGTAAATTTGGTTTTAGAGATCTTAAACATCTTTCCGAGCGTGCCAGGGATCATCAATCTTCTATGGAGCATCTGGACAATGCAGTAAAATACAGAACATTCGGAAATGTTAATATTGCAGCACAGTTGATGAAGGACGCGCGGTTTCTATTCGTCGGCACAACCAAAACGTCGAGAAAAACCGCCATGTTCTCGGTCGATTGATAGATGTTTTGAAGTTCATTGGTTGTCACGAGCTGTCCCTCCGTGGGCACGATGAACGGGCTGGCTCTTCTAATAGAGGGGTATTTTTGGATATGGTGGAATACACCGCATCCCTAGATACAGTATCATAGATCATCTTGATGCCGCAACTGTTTCGAAAGGGACATCTAAGGATATCCAAAATGATTTGCTCGACTCAATGTATAAAATTTATTTACAACATTTGGCTCTGGAAATTGAGAATTGCCAGTTCCTTTCGATTCAGTCTGACGAGACAACTGACATCACGTGCGTTTCCCAACTGGCTGTGATTTTTCGGTTTGTGAAAGATGGTAAACCTACCGAGAGATTTCACAGCTTTGTACCAATCGTTGATCGCACGGCTTGCGGGATATCGGCTGTACTGAAAGAAGTGTTACAGCCTTACAACGCGAAGTCAAAATTGATAGCTCAAACTTATGACGGCGCGGCAGTCATGAGTGGGTCGAAACATGGTGTTCAAGTTTATATAAAAGAAGATTTTCCTCATGCGCATTTTTTACATTGTTATGCACACCAATTTAACCTCGTTATTAAAAATATGTGTCTTGATACCCCTCTCGTCCGTATATTTTTTGCAAATGTTTCGGGGTTTTCTTCATTTTTTTCCGTTTCGCCGAAGCGCTCTGACCTCCTTCGCCAGATATGTAGCCGCCGTCTCCCAGCTTGTGCACCAACACGTTGGAACTTCCAATCACGCGTGGTGCAGGGCGTGTCCGAAATTAGGTCTGAGCTCATTGAGTGTCTCATGGCATCAGAGCTCTCGTGGTTTGGGACGAACTCTCTGTGAGGGAGGCGGCAGGTCTAAAGCGTCTGCAAGATGGGTGAGTTTTCATTTTTCTCGCTTTTTTCTCCACAATATTCTATCACGTGGATGTATTATATCGGCGCATTGCAGTCAAGGCTAATGGATGGAGCGTCTGTGCAGTCGTGTATTTCAGATCTGCGGATGCTGTATCTTTCGTATCCGGGAAACAATAAAATACGACGACACATGGAGTGCTTCTTTACGCCGCGGGCAAACAACGCAGCGTTGATTTTGTCTGCAAAAGGAATGCTGTGACATTCTGGTGAATCAAATAGGCGATCGTCCTGCGGCACTGAACAACCTTGCCGCGTTCTCTTTGATGAAACCCCAAAAATTTTTCAAATCCCCCGTCAATTTGCCATATCCATTTTGTTAGCTACTGTCTCCCAAAATTTTTACCCATGAATAATAGGGTAAATTGGAAAATGAATTGCGATGTATATACACCAATCAAACTTTTTTGAACATCACATCAACTTGCGCGCTCTATGGGTTCCTCATAGATAACACTCTAGTAACTACCTTTGCGGCGTCTGCAAAATTTCTGGACATCATTTTGACGACGCCTATTTCTTCCGCCGACGCAGAGCGAACATTCAGCACGCTGAAGCGTATTAAAACGTATCTCAGAAACACAATGAAGCAAGATAGATTAAATTCCTTGGCTGTTTTATCCATTCACAGAGACGTTATTTCTGGGATGCATGACTTTAATCAGCGCGTTATTGAGCATTTTGCTTCCAAGAAACCGCGGCGTGTTGCATATATGTTCAAGCAGTAGAAGTCTAGCAGCATATATATCTATGAGTGAGCGACGCATGTCCTTATCTTTGCATTTCCTTTCTTCATAGTAACGTTTCAAACCTTATTTTAGGTTTTGTCTGCTTTCCCGAAGTTTCTGTTAATATGTCATTGTATTTATCTGGGTAAATATTGCCTTTCCTTTTGAAAGAGGTTTCAAAATAAACTATGTCTATATTTATTAATCCCTAGACTTGGACCGGTTTTAAAGACACTTTCTTATCGTTAAAAATTGTCGCTTTTGCCGATTGGTTGTTACCGATGGAATGGTTTTTATACTCATAAAATGATGGGAGAACTTAGAGCGCTCATCCTGTCCCCGTAGATGGGGGTGACTTGGTCCCGCAGTAGCTTGCCCCGGTTGTCAAAATGACATAATCATGGAAATATTTAAAGTGTTCAACCATAGTATTATCCCGGGATGAATATGAAAATCCCATTATTCATATATAGGCTACATATAAGTAGACTACACTACCTTTATCGATGGAAAAATATATTGAAAACTGGGAGCTACGTGAAACGTGATTTGAAGGATTTAAATATGTTTGGCAAATATATCCTTCAAACTACTATCTTCAGTTTCTTTTTTTTTATGTTACCCTGCGTGATCTGTGCTTATCGACTTAGAGATTGACGCTTCGTGCTAAGCGTTATGAATAAATGTTCCTAACATTGCACATCTGATTACCCTTTGTGTGTTTCGAACCCCATGGGGATGAGTGCAAGATTACTGGACTCTTCGCACCCACGTAGATTCAAACCTATGTTACGTTCAGCGCCCTCCTACAATTTGCACCCACGGTCATTCAAACCCACGGCCATTTGCAACCTTGGGCATTTGTGCGTTAGTGAAATAGACAGTCAAGGAATTGATAATATTTACTTCTATGTTGAACATTTTATACACAAAAGTTCAGGACACGTCTGATATTTATGCTTATGATATTTATTGTGAAATGAAGTTAAATATATCAAAATATTGTCAAAAAGAGATCCCCTAACAACGTAGTTGTGTATAAATGTGGACGGCTCAGGTCGCGACACCAAAACCAACTGATATATATTTGGTCGAAAATCAAATACAAACGAACTTCATTATCGTAGACTAGATGGACACGAAATGTGAGCTTTTTTCCTAAACTGATAATCGTTTTCAAATTGCCAGTAGGCTACTAAAAGAAGGCTTGAGCGTCAAAATGGGCTATTGCTATTATATCGTCATATTTTCTCCGAGTTCTACTGTGAATGTCAATATTTCATTTGATATTTTGCGATTTCTACAAACATTGCGTCACATGTAACCCAGTCAGACAAAGATATTAATCGGTATCGATGTGAATTTCTGCGCAGGCCGGGACTTAATTGCAATTTTTTTATTTAGAGCTTTTGATAGATCCGACAAGATTTTAGCGGAAATCGCCTAGGCTTTCATGTCCTTATATTTGAGCATTGCTCCTCTGTTTTCATAATTTTTCAAAAGTCAACGCTGAAGACGAGTTATATCAGACGAACAATTTAAATTTCAATGACTTAGTAAGTTGATCGCGCCATTGCTGAGTTTTGCAGAAAAATTGGCCCCTTTGTCTTTGATTTATTATATGAAATAAAATTCAGTGTGGTCGATTTACAATTCACATTGAAAACGAACACAGCTGGATGGATAGCTTTTCAAGAAGAAAAAACAACACAAAGTAAATCTAGTCCATGTTTTACCCAATTTATATTTTTGATTACCATGACAGAGCTACGATTAGTAATGTTATATACATGTAATTCAAGAGGATCAACTGATAATGTTTTACGAATATACCTATTTGATGAGATGCCGAATTGCTGTAGTAGTAATCGAAATAGTAATCGAAAAGTTGATATAAAGTCTGTTATTGTAGTCCGTTATGGATTGTTATATTGGTCGAATTTTGATTTCCGTAACTTTAAAAGAATAATACTGTCCCTTCCAAGGAGACCATTCAACACCATCTGCGTAAGATTTGTGGACTCCACCTTTGAAATAATGACCATTCAAATTGCTTGAATGGCAGCCTGAGTACCATCATTCCCTTTAAAAGACACTGCACAAATTCCCAGAATATGAATCCATTGTCTTTGATCCTTAGTCGTAAATCTTCGACCGTTGTGACCACTCAAAGAATCACCCGCGTCTCCAGTGTATCCTCCAACGGCAAGTGTATATTTCGTTTTCGGTCCTCCTACTTTGAAATTGCTGTAAAATTAATGTCATAGGTTAGATTTTAGAATTAAGTAAATCAAAAAAGTAATCAAATGAATTTTACGAATATTTTGCATATTTCTTGTTTCCTTCCCAATCTTCCAAATCAATACGAAGTTCATAGTCATTATAACGTGTCAGGTGATGAAGATTCTCCAGGCCTTTTAGATAGATAAAATATTGAAAAAAAGAGAATAATTAATTGTGTCATTATGCTGAAGATTTTTAAAACTTACCAAGCCAATATTCATCAGCTTTGTTCCCAAATCCATTTACGTATTCATTCCAATTTCTGTAGAATTCCGTTGAGCCACTTGTCCGTCGTTGAAATATCTTTCAAGAACGCAGGAACATTTTATAATAGTCATAAAGAATATTGGTATTAATACAATCAATTTGGTGGTTATGGAACAAAGGTAAATAGAGTGTTACAAAATTATGCACAATTTTTTTATTCTCACCATCCAACCACCATCGTCAGTTGTTAGATCACAAGTTCCGGTGCTACTTTGGTATGAAATTTCAGTGATTTTGTTAGGTTATGGTTAGGAACCGAATTATATGTAAATGTCTTTATGCGATTGTGATCACGTTATACACACAGATACCACATTATACAGATCGCATACCAAAGTGCCACCCAAGTTTCTTTTGTGTTATCACTCGCCGAAGGTAACTCCGATGTGATATAACTGTTGTTGTACAAATTGGTATTGGTATTTTACATCAGTAGTAATACGAGCATATCCTAGTATTCATTCTGATACATAAATATTTTGTCGGAAATTGGAGATATGATATCCCAATTGCAATTCGCAAATGTGTAACGAAAGAAATGGTGATTCCTCAAAACTATTAAAAATGGAAATATGTTGGTTTAAATATAAAAAACTGATTACTTGACTGGGATAGCTCATTAGCGGTTGGACGGGCATAGCTCAATCGATTTATTTCCTAATTTCTCAGATGCAAAAATAGCTGAGTTATTTACATTGACGTGCTTTGGAAATTCACCGATAGTCTAGGAATCGATATGCCTGGCTATATGACATGGGTTTTGTCGTACAGCTTTCACTATACTTCCAATTAATTCAGTTAGCTGATGCAGGTTTTCTATATTTGACTTGCACTTGTGCTTTTGAACTATTTCTGGGATTCTCCGTCTGTCTAACAGTAGCCCACTAGCTATCCTTCAATGAATAAACGATAATAAAAACATTTACATTTTTATGAGACACGCAACTTGAGGAAGAGGGGTCTACCACGCTACAGCGCGAGGTCTACCGTTGCATTTCCGTTTCTAACGGATGTGCCTTAGTTCTATAGCGCTATAGGCTACAATTTATTCATCGATAAACACTTAATTTTTGTATGTACCAAAGCAATAATTGAACTTTTCAAAAACAGCGTATATGAAAGAGGGGTTTTTTTAGACCTTCTGCGACATCTTGAATTGACCTTAATTGATGTTAAATAACACAAGCCGAGGAAGAATTGGAGTTCGCTCCATTTGCTGGGCAGATCGCATTAGACCGCAGACTGAACCTGGGTAGGCAACATATGGCAGTAGACCTCACGCTATGGTATCACTATTAATTACTTACTTTAATCGGTAAGTATGTTGATAGGTATTTGTGTGTCTGTCTGTCTGTCTGTCTGTCTGTCTGTCTGTCTGTCTGTCTGTCTGTCTGTCTGTCTGTCTGTCTGTCTGTCTGTTAGATGCACGCGATATCTCACGAAAGCGAGATTGAATCTGCTCCAGATTTTGCATGCGCATTTATCATATCTCGGACCAGAACCCTATCGATTTCGGGCGAAATATGTCGTATAATTAGCGAGTTAATAATAAATTAGTGATGGGACACAAGGTGTCACTATGGAGTAAGAGCGCTGTGTATGAGGATCCCTAACTTTCGATCGACAAGTCTTCGGTCTCTGACCGCATTAAGACTCTTGAATCACTTAGGATAGTTATCTAGGATGGAAGTTGTGAACTTTGCTGATTAAGATATTCTCGTTCAATCTTTGTCTAGTTTTACAACGTCTATAAGTGACTTGTTTTGAATAGTTTTCTTTTGAAAAACATAAAGGTATGCGAAAACCTCATTGTAAGCAGCATGTTTCCTGATTTATAGCTCTTAGATACATAGTTTACATTTACAACTTATTGAGAGTGGATGCACAATTTACTCTCAGTTTTTAAGGATCGATAACCTCGAGTATTTAGAGTCGCAGTTATGACCACTTCATGGCAGCTCCTGCCAGGCACAAACCATGGTCATTTGCGTACCCTGAGGACACGTTAATAAAGATTTGAGCAAAAAAAAATTTTCTATTAATCTATCGTTCCAAATTACAGAGCATAGACAGCACACCCAAACAGCACAAAGTGGTCATAACTGCACTTAAATATTTACGTGCAAATTTGTAATTTTTAGAATACTTAATTTTTTTTCTTTGGACCATACATGAGCACGACCTAGTAGAATTTTGTAGCAATATCGAAATGATTTTAACGGACCATTCAGAAGAAAAATTTGATGTGAAAGCTTTGCTTTTTCGGTTTACTTTTTCACATGTTGAGCCCTTTTAGTTAGTTTGTTGCATCACAGATATTTGGTAGGGAAAATGCTTTTAATGCTCTAAATCGAAACTAAATCTTTGTTTTTACGGCTCTCCGACAGACGAAACGTGACCAAACTTTGCTTCGTGGCATTAATCGATCTTAATTTTAATAGGAGTGCTTGTCCGTTAGAAATCTTTCAGCGTCTATAATGCATATTTTTAGTTAATCATTCATACTTGAATACCAATAGTTTATGCCATTTCAGTTTTAAAAGTCTCATCAGATTATAAGGATGTAAGTTTATTCGGCATATTTTCAAAAATGTCTCAGTACATTTTCCGTGGTACATTTTACAAGGAACGATAAGGGTGGCAGGTGATTTTACATTCAGAGCAGTCTTCTTAACACTTAGAAAAATTGAAAAAAATTTTGATTATTATAAAAATGTAACTAAATCTTAAATAATATTATTTAGTTTTCAGCAATATGACTTATGTATGGAGCAAACGATACATCATGGTCAGTGCATTTGCACTACGGATGTTTTGTCTGATTTCAGCAACAAATACGATGCCTGATGATGGTCTCTGTTCCCAAATTTATCAAATGCATGAATATTGTACAAGGCAGGTTCGTGGCATCTCACCTTCAATTTCTCGACCAGACCATGTTCTTGCAAGACGAGTTGGTAAAGCAGGACCACGTGGACCACCAGGTGTTGTTAACTATACAAAAATAGAGGAGGAAATGCAAAAGAAATTCGGTGGTACACATATTTTATATTATTAAAACGGTTTTATGTCAATAAACATTCCATTTTAGTTTTTCTAATTTTGGTAGAGATGCATTGATATGAAATCTGTATATTTATTCCAGAATTCCAAACGTTAGTTACAACAGCTATGAATGAACATTGGACAAAACGACACTTTAACAAAGTTTATAATTGTTATGTTGATCTTTTAGAAATGGAGATTAGTTTTGTAACCAAGATGGCCAACATTGAACAAAAAATGTTAAACAATACATCTGAGATAGAAAGAAAATTTACAGAATTGATTCGAATTGCTGAAGGTAGGTATTCAAGATAAATCCTGACCGCATAATTGAATACATGTTTTTCACCTGATGTAAAATTATACATCATAAACAATTGTCTACCCACTTACGTGGCATGTACCCAAGCATGAAAATATATGCTATTACAAAATTTATTGTGCATTTTTCTGTACACTACAATTATCATTGCAAAATTACGTCCTCTAACTCTTTCTGACTGCGGAAAAGTTACTAAAAATGATTCGAAAATATTGAATGAAACCGGTGGTGTTTTCGATATCTATCCAACTTACTCAAAGCTTGAAGTTTTCTGTGATCTTGAAACTGACGGTGGCGGTTGGATGGTGAGGATGTACATTAATGTGGAAACAATTGAACTCTTTATAACATACTTTTAGTAATGATTTATCTGTTTCTACTGTTGTTTTACTACCACAAAATATTTTTAACTGTTATAAAATTTTTTGTTACATTTCTAAAAAGGTCTTTCAACGACGAACGAGCGGCTCGACGGACTTCTATAACACTTGGAATGAATATGTAAATGGATTTGGGAACAAAGATGATGAATATTGGCTTGGTAAGCTTCCAAAACTTTTTAAATTGATATCACAAAATTGTTATTTCATTCCTAAAATTGATGCATTGAACGTTATTTTAAACCTCAACAAGGCCTGGAGAATTTCTATCATCTGACGCGTGATAATGACTACGAACTTCGTATTGATTTGGAAGATTGGGATGGAAACAAGAAATATGCAAAATATTCGTAAGAATTATTCAATTACCTTATATGATTTACTTCCTTGTATTCCAAAGTCTAATCTTATGACAATAATTTCACAGACATTTTAAAATAGGAGGACGGAACTCGAAATATACACTCTCTGTTGGAGGATATACTGGAGACGCGGGAGATTCTCTTAGTGGTCATAACGGCCAAAGATTTACGACTAAGGATCAAGACAACGATTCATATTCTGGGAATTGTGCTGTATCTTTTAAAGGGGCATGGTGGTACTTTAAATGCCATTCAAGCAGTTTGAATGGTTATTATTTCAAAGGCGGAGTTCACAAATCTTACGCAGATGGTGTTGAATGGTCTTCCTGGAAGGGAGCATATCATTCTCTCAAAGTTACGGAGATGAAAATACGACCGATTTAACATTCTGAAAAAAAATAGTCGGGCAGCTTTGATTGCTCATAGACAATCTCATTTACATTTTCTGTCGTTTACATATTTACATTTAAGTTTAATCATAATTTTGGTAACCAATTTTCCGAAATTAGCAGCATTTGGTCTTTTGTATGGTGCCAACTCTGCTTCTCGGGATTAGGTGCAGTTATACTTTTTATTATGAGACACCAGTTTGTCACACTTTCATAAAAGTTTGAATAGTTTTTACCGCTCAATAAAATATTTGCTCAATTCTCTGCAAGATAAATGAAAATAGTAAAATGAATTTCAATCTGGAATGCGGTTCATTCATCAGAATGTTGTCTTTGGGTCGGACAAACTTTTAAGTTTTCATTTATCTTGCACGGTAAATTTGCTGTTTTTGGCAGACTAAACGATGGAAATTATGCAGGTTCATTAATTTCTCATTGAAAGAAGTTTTAATCAAGCGGAGGTGGTGCGGATGCGGGAGTTCTTGATATACAACAGCCCGCTAATTTAGTTAAAATGCGCTTACTCTAAATCAGGGGTTTCCAAAGTTGATTGACCGCGTGCCAAAATAATTCGAAGCAGAAGGATATTCGCGGGCCAGAAAAGAGAAGCAGCAAAAAGGGCAAAATTTTGAAAAATAAGTATTAAAATAGGCTGCAAGCTTGATTTTGGATACACCAAGCATCGCAATTTGTTATGTAATGAAATTTATAATAATAATAGTTGGGTGATAGAATACCGGAGGAATAACAAGCACGACTTTCAACAAGAATTTGCAACTAATAGTGACTAATGAAGTTACTTGCTCATCTGACATACGGCCTCCTATAAATGGCTACTTTTGGCTTGTTTTGTGACACAAAAAACACCCTAATGTATATATATAAATATAAAAAAACGAAATTCCAACAAAATTTAGTTGCGTATTTTTGCATATACGTGTAGGTATAGGGTTGGATCAAAATCACATGTTCAAAACGTGGCTCTGATTCAGTACATTGTATTCGCAATGACACATTCAAGTGATTATCTGTCAGTTTGGACCGCAGTTTTGATTTGTGAAAGTTCAAAATTGTGTTGTTAGAAAGACTGATGCTTGAAAATCATCATCATCTTTTTATATGAGGTGAAATGACTTCCAAAACTTGCAGCATACATTCGCGGAAAAATTCCCCTTCAACAAACGGCGCTCTTTTTAGCAATGTTATGGGCTACAATATAACTGGCCAATAACGTGGATTCACTTTCATTTGAGATTTTTTTGAACCTATTTGTTTGAGTTTTGTACGAATTCAGCAATGAATTAAATTTTAAAATATGCGCGTCAACTGATCATAATTTGAAGTATTATGCTTCTCATAATGGCGCATAATGTTGTCCTTCAGAACTGGTATATTTTGTTGACAAGGAAGACAAATCTCTGAAATTTGATTCTTTTCCATAAAGAAATGAGAACGCTGCTATTTATCTAAAAAACGTCTGTTTTCAGTATCGCAAAAAAAGTAAAAACATAGAGTGGTAAACCTATTAGTATTTCTTTACGATTAAAGTTTACCCGTTTAACTATTTTACCCAAGTTCGGCGGGCCATTTCGAATCGTTATGCGGGCCGCAATTGGCCCGCGGTTTGGGAACCCCTTCTCTAAACGTGAGTATATGCAACTTATTCCTTATTACTCTGTACTAGTTAAATTTTAAATCGCCCTCTAACACGTGACTATCACAACAACGGGTTGCCGCGGTGAATGAGCGAAAAACTAAATGCGATTTTGACGTGGGTATCAACGAAACATCGATTTTATATGACGTTGGCGAACTGTCGGGACTCTCAAAGTCTTTTCCATGTCTTAAAAATGTTGAAGTCGTCGACTAAAATTCTCAAAACATTGAATAATTTGAAATTGTTTATTTACGTCCTTTTATCATTATGTAAGTCTTTGTAGGTTAACTGCGCCTTGGGCATCTGCAAGCTGCAAATTGCGTTGTGGTTGCTATTATGCAAAAGCAATTTTGTCCTAAGCAAGGAAAAAGGGAAATGTATTTGGTTTCAGAATTATTCTTTAATTAAAACGGCTTACAAAGATAAGTACGGCCTTGATCGAAAAAAATATGTTGTTGCCCTTTTTTCTTGAAAATCGCTTTTCTTTTTAATTATCGGACCAATTGCTTTGAAATTTTCAGGGGTCAAAGATTGTATTTTTGCTAGAAGGCTATTACTTTTATTTTTTTACAATTCAATTTCTGTAGGCTCTATGAGATTTGTTTTTTGTGTGCGATGAAAGCATCAAAATTGAAAAAAATTCGCACTTCGTGGCGGTTCCGCCTTCGCTTTCTGGTGGTCACGCGGAGACAGTGGTACCACTAGTCTACTGTGAAAGATTGCATACTTCTTCTAAGAATTTACGTGTCTATAGTTGTAAATTGTCGGTGCTAAAAAGGTCAATTTTGCAATTTGAAGTATGGTGACTTATAGGTCTATAACATACCAAAGGGAGAAAAGCGAAAGTGGCGTCAAAAAACCTACGTTTATATAAATAACACCCGATCAAAAGTCGCGCATTCATTATCACAACGACGCTCAAATTGATTACATACCGGCTGATAGGCAGTCTAGGATATTTGATACTAGCAATGTGTTATGGCAGATTGAGATGAAGATGTCATGCCAGACAGTGATTTTGATAAAAACAACTTTGATGGATCGGATTAAGAAGCGGAATCCGGACCCGATACTAACGAAGAATCGGAAGGTGGATACCATTTTTTTTATTATTTCTTTTAGAAAATTCTATTGAAATCTAACGTCAAAGTTTTATATTCATGTTTCAGGGACAATTAGTACCACCCCATCAGCTCCTAGGCTTTGAGATTTTCCATGACGCCGAGGAAGACCCACAACGTCGAAATGCAGGATAGGTGTCGCCCGGTAACTTCGGGGTCTTACTTACAATTGGTAAAAACGCAATCCTAGGTCGACAACAGTGCTTTATATTTTTATCAACAATACACGAACCGGCTAGGCTTCGTATTTTTTTCATCAGCGATATACAACCCGGAATATGATAACGGGCATGTAGAAAATCGTTAAAAGAAAGAGGGTTTGGGGAAGAAGCCTCGGGTTCAGAAGAAATACCACGTCCCACAATTATGGATAACAACTCTTACACGGGTGGCGTGGACCTTTCGGATAAAATGTGAAAATAATACGACCTCACAAGAAAATCAAAAGTCTGGTATAGGCGAGTTTTTTTTTATCCGATTGAACTGACAATCTACAGCGCAAGAGTAAAGAAGAGTTTGTCCCAAAAAATCACAAAAGCCCCTCCACCCACACCAAGAATGATCATCTCGCGAAGTCGTGAATTACAGCAATTGCAATGTTCCTCGATGAAAAAATTGCTTTCGAGACTGACACGCGAAAGTTGAATATTGGAGGTAGACGCTTGTGAACAAATGGTATTTGTTATTGATATTTTATTAGTTTGTGATCCCTATTCATTACTTTTCTTGACGTCTACAAATTAGATGACGTATCTTGGGTGTCGCTGCTCAATAACCAAATTTGGCTCCCCGCGACTTTCCTTCCCCGGTAAAAATGTGTGTTGAATTTTATTCATTTTTCAATTTTGTATGTTTTTTTTTTGTTGGTTGGAAAAAATAAAATTGACTGGGACTATTTAGTTTTTCTAATTACAGAGACCGTAATTCTGCCCGGAAATTGTCTTGTAACCGTTTTATATATTTGTAAATATTGTAATTTTCTTCGATTAAATGCATCTGCCACATTATTCAATTCATTTCATATTTGCCTCGTCTTTATCGTATATTCATTCGTAAATATTGTATTTTTTTCAAATAAGTGAATACGCTACTCCATTCAATTTATTTTATATTTGTCCCACTTTTCCCTGTGAACAATTGTGATGGATCGTGCTCTGCGTGTAGCGTCAACATTACGAAGAAATTATTTTGAGCAACGCAAAGTGTACACGTCTATCTCTCAGTTCTGCTACCCTTTGATATGCAAGAATAAAGCAGAACATGGTTGTCACGGATATAGATCGACCTATTTTGCTTTTATGTTGTAATAATTTAAGTCAAAGTTTCATCTATATACTTGTACGTCATATCGAAGAAATAACTTCACAGTGCAAAGTCTACAAGTCCCTCTGTTTACTAAGAGAATTATCTCTTTTTGTTTATGCCAAATCAAGGCTGAAAATATTTGTCATAAATGTAAATAGACCATAGTATGTGAACTCGTCAAACGCAGCGATAAAATTCCAACCTCCCTAAATATAATTTCGAATTACTCACCAACGATTTCAGTTACAATCACGCTTATGATATTGTATTGAAGGAAGTACACGAGATAACGTTAGTACTGAAGATAAATAGATGGCCGTTGCACTAAACCGTTCTATAGGCACATATTTACGAGATACAAAAGCTTGTTTACAAATTCTTGGCAAAATATCCCCGAGTAGACGTAAATTGGAATAAATACGACTCTTTAATGCGCGTTTAAAAAGCCATGAGTGAAGGTATAGGGCCTAATAGTTTTCCGACAAATGCTTTTTGAAAATGACCTTGAAAATTGGACTCAGAGAAAGAGCGTGAAAAGAGTCTCGTCTGTATCGCACTTGTGCTTGTAGACTGGTATTTCATCGACTGCAATATATTTCAAGCATATTCATGGTGGTGGGGTTGTCAAATATTGAGAAACCTGGCAGGTTATACATCAAAGGAAGGTAATAGCGCGAAGTGTCACCGCCCAACACGTTATAGGCTTCTTGTAAAGACTAATCATAAATACTAGAGCTCGACCGATATATCGGCCAACCGATATATCGGGCCGATATTGCGTGTTTGCCGATATATCATATCGGCCCAACCGGCCGATATATCTGGCCGATATATATCAACGTTAGTCGCTTTTCCACGTTCTAAAAAATGAGTATTTTTCCCCGGGAAATATCTGCGGCCGAGCGTTTCCTTCTTTTCGCTTCTATCATTTTGCCTTTTAAAGAACAGAGAGTTCTCTTCTATATTTCTCTCTCTCTCTTTTATCTCTTCGTGCGGCGCAAAATCCTCGCCTTCGAATACCTTGCTTCCCCACTAGGCTTGCACGTAATCGACAAAAATCAATTCCGTAATTACGGCAAAATTGATTACGTAATGACCCCGTAATTGCGATATTTTTTCACACATTTAAACCTAT